TACAGTAAACATTTTACATTTTTGTGTGATGGATATATGTTTCTCTTATTGATCCATGACTGGTTATTTTAGTTATTAGTTCATTTCTGACCTGTGTCAGTAGATTTTACCTGTCATCAGTTTGATGCTAGTTATGAAGGGAACTGTGTAATGTGGTTGGATAAATGGAACCACGGCACACTGCTGTTAATAACAGCTTAATAGAAAATGTACTGAGCGTATGCTTTTATTGACTACGGATAATATCAAATTGAATTAGTGTATTTCCAAAATAGGCTGAAGCAAGGTTCTCTCTTAAGGGGAGAGTTCTAGGGTTGGAATTACTGAACCTGCTGAAATAGCATGCAGAATTTTGTGTGCTGTGTATTTTTCTGTCAAAAGTGTCCCATTATTCTCATTAGCTTTTTCAAAGGGATATCTGACCGAAATAAGAAGATTTATGAACCATTGCTTTAATGGTTGATATTCAGATTCATATATATTTTTTTTAAATACTGCATCTTTGGTTTGAGGTTTGATATCCTGTAGATAGAAATCACCAGAAATGAAAAATATTTACTGCATTCCCAGAATCAGCCCTGGTGGCTCAGATGGTAAAGAATCTATGTGCAATGCAGGAGACCTGGGTTCGATCCCTGGGTTGGGAAGATCCCTTGGAGGAAGGCATGGCAACCCACTCTAGTATTCTTACCTGGAGAATCCCCATGGATAGAAGAGTCTGGCGGGCTACAGTCCATGGGGTCACAAAGAGTTGGACACGACTGAGCGACTAAGCACATCCAGAAATAGTATGAATTCATATTGTGACTTTTCTTTATGCTTAAAGACCTTTTATTTCATTTTATGACCCAACTAATTTTTATAAAACTCACCATTAAAGTATTTCAATGTACTAAATGTATAAGTGAGTCAAGGGATTTTTTACACACAAAATAGAAGGTATTAAAATTAGTTTTAATTATCTTGTTTTATATTCACTATATTCCCTAAAGTATACCTTAGTAAGTATTTTATAATGGGGGGGGGGAAGGCAGGAGAAGTGGGAATTAACCTTGTATTACTTGGATTGAGACATTTTTATGCTGAGCCTTTTCCTCTATTTTGACAGAGTCCAAAACCTGCCATGCGTCTGTATTAGTCAGGGTGTTCTCCCCACCTACACACACCACTCCCTCATCCACCCTTCCCCCCATCATTATCATCCTCATCATGCTCTCAGTCTCCTCCCTTCCCTTTTCATTCACTCACCCCTTCCTACGTTTGCTAGAATTTTGAAACTGCTTTTATCATGGAAATCAAACCCCTCCAGAATTCTCAACCTGTTTCTCAGTGTTTTTTCCACTTCCTTGCTTAGTTTGTGTATATCCTCTCAAACTCCAAGGTCTAGAAGGTCAACTTTATTTTCTTTTCTGCCATTTCCAACCATATCCCTTCGCTCTCTTTTCCCCCTTAAATCTCGGCTCCTTTGAAGCCGCTGTCTTTTCCCTAACCAGCCTTTAGTTCATCTTCACTGCTGTCCTCTCCTGAACAACCTCACAGTCACTGTTCCTTGAGCACTAAGACTTTGGCGTCTGACTTAAAGTTTTCTTCTGTGCTGTGAGCTCTTCATGATCATAGCTTGTGCATTCATGTGGGAAAACAAGTCCAGTGCTCTGAACTTGGCAATTCCTTGACCAGCTCATTTCCACTGACCCTCAGCTTTCATCAGCAATTCACTGATGAATTCCCTCCCTTCAACTTCCTCTCCCCTCAAATCATGAAATCACTTGTCCCATTCTGACCACAACCACTTCATTGTATTTCTTACGTCATGGACTTTTCTTGACCTTTGGACCCCAACTTTCAGTGCATCAGCACTCTTCCTTTATCATTTTGTTTAATCCAGCTTAGGTTCGTGATTTATAATTTCAATAACTCCCCTTTTTGTTGCCGTTACCCTCAACCACCTTTTTTTCTTTGCCGTTTTTTGTATCTGTTGAGTAGAAACCTACCTCTGAATGATGCAGTCAGTATCTTCTCTGTACCTGTTCCTGAATTACTGAACATTGCTAGAAAAAGTCATATGGGCAGGCAGATTGATTCCACTGTACATTCATTATTGCAAATCTTAAATGGGCAAATCTCAATCTTAAATACTGTAAATGTCGGTACTATCCAACAGTTCCCCTATTTTGGTGTGTGTTCAACTCATTTCTTGTGCAAAAATTATTGAAAGCCTCATTTGCTTCACCAGTCTTTTAACTTTTTTCAGTCACCCTCAGTCTCACCAGTTAACTGGTTGCTATGTTATGGAGAAAATAGGAACTAGCTGTTAGGAGTTTTCATCTTCTAGCTTCTCAACATGAAGGCAATGGCAACCCACTCCAGTCCTCTTGCCTGGAAAATCCCATGGACGGAGGAGCCTGGTGGGCTGCAGTCCATGGGGTCGCGCAGAGTCAGACACGACTGAGCGACTTCACTTTCACTTTTCACTTTCATGCACTGGAGAAGGAAATGGCAACCCACTCCAGTGTTCTTGCCTGGAGAATCCTAGGGACGGCGGAGCCTGGTGGGCTGCTGTCTAAGGGGTCGCACAGAGTCGGACATGACTGAAGCGACTTAGCAGAAGCAGCAATAGCAGCTTCTCAACATACCAGTCTGGTTTCTATTGTAGTAAAAGTGCCTTTCTCCTATTTTATTTTAGTTTCTACCTGTGCTTTATGGCCCATCCCTTTCCACATTGTCAGAAATTCTAAAATACCTGACATGATCTTGTTTCTTCCTGATACTTTGAACCAGGCCTTCTCAATTTTACTTTCTCTATCAGATGATCCCATATAACATTTTTGCTACCATTCTACCATGTTCCCCCCAGATTTTTTTTAAAGAGTCATTGGTTCGTATATCTACACAATTGCTTATCTAAGCCCTTGGGACCAGATTTGACTCAGAAATCAGAAGTTTTTGGATTTCAGAAAGCATCAACACCTGTAGTGTGATATCCCCGATGGGATTTGGGGCAGGACCTTATGATCATTACATTGTTATTTCTGCACTGGAATGTGTGGCTTTTCACTTTAAGTGAAGTAAGTAAGGGCTGCAAAAAGCTTCACTTCAGTCCAGGTCAGGTTTTACTTCCAAATGAGGTTAAAAAAAGCTTGATTTTTTTTAGAGCTTTGGACTTTGGAATCATGCATAAGAGATAGTGGACTTGCACTTGCAGCTACTTCTGTTTTCTCAACTTCATTTTCTTTTTAACCCGTTCTAACATTTCCTCCCCTCATGTCTCTCAAGTGATTCTTGCTAACTCTACTAATGACCTTTATCTAAAGGGCTCACATCACTGGTGAATGTTTTCGTTTGTCTCACTTGCTTGAACAGCAGCCTCAGACTGTGGTGATGCCAAGTCCCCTTAGCTTTGGGCACCATTCATCCCCAGCCTTCCTCTCTCACCTTTTTGCAGGCCTTGTCCTCTTTCTTACTGTCCTCTGTCTTAATGATCAAAGGTTGCATTTCTTCCAAGGCTTTGTCCTCAGACCACTTGTTTTCTTCCTCAGTATTCTGTGCCGTGATCTCACTTAGGTCAGTGCCTTCAGCAACTGATTATGTGCTGATGAGTCACAAATATATACTCCAGCCCAGACTTCTTTGAGAGTGACCATTTATTTTATCTTTTCCTCTATTTCCCTCCCCCCTCATGTTCTTACATCATTTTCTGGGCTTCCAGTTGTGTTAGAACGAACACTGGGTTCTTTGCTGTGACTTAAAGGTCCTGCGTTGCCCAGCCATCGCCTCCTCCTTCAGCTTCACTTAACTCTGCTCCCTCTCCCCTCCACTTTCACTCTCTCTGTTTGAAATGCTCTTCTTTGCAGTTTATTCCTATTCATTTGTTTTGCATCTTAACCCTTGTTTTCATGTCCCTTGTCAGCAAATCATATATGGATTGTAACACTAGTGACAGTTTTAATTTTACTTACATTTTTGCGATCAGTTCGTACCTGTTCTCCACTGGACTTTCTCAGTACAAGGATTACGTCTGCTCTTGTTCAACATTGTATTTCCAGCATGATGCTTGGCATACAGCAGGCAGATAACAAATGTTTTGAATGAATTATATACATTAATTTGCCTTTTCTAATTTTTAAACATAATTTCTGTATATACACTTACCAGTGCAGCAGTGCAGTTTCCATAGTTTTATGTGGACAATATCCTGATGGTACTTTTACTGAAAATAATAGAAGTTCATTCTAAAGAATCTCATGAATTAAATATATATATATGTATGTGTATATATATATATATTTTTTTTTTTAAAGGTTCAGATGCATAAAAGTCTTACTTTGACCTAGCTCATAATTTTATCTTCCTTTATGTTCTTAATTTTTCAATTTTGACCTCTTTGCCCATATTCTATATAGATATCAAGTATCTATACTTGTATGCTGCAGTCCATGGGGTCGCAAAGAGTGGGACACGACTGAGTGACTGAACAGCAAATGAAGTATCTTACTAAGTCTAGTATTATGACCAAGTAAAATATATGCAGTGTCTAGTACAATTCAGCAGACTCTCAACTTGCTCATCAGTTTGTAGGTATCAGGATTAAAAATAGTTTAACCATCTGCTAACTGACTGAACAATTTTAGTGTTGTGAAAGGGCGTGGTAGGGGAGAGAGAGAGGGGGTCTAGGTGTAATGTCAGATTGAGGCTCAGTGCAGAAACCACCTTGTGACCTCTTAATATTGAAACTTAAGAGTCAGTTCAAAATTAGGAAGAGATTTGGTGGTTGGTGGAGGGTTAAGCATAGAAGAGTCCTGACAGGAGGGGATTTCCCAGAACAGGGTGACAGAAGAATTTCTTTCAGCATTTTAATATTTCACTGAATTTTTTTTAGAGAAAAAAACATGTTTAAAGATGTGGTTCTGTGAAAATTGTCATAATATGTATTTAATATATAATAAATGTTTCTAGGAATCAACTTGATTTAATGTGCTTTTTATATTTTACTCTTTAATTAGGAAAATCAATAGATTCCCAGTCATCTCAAAGTGAATCTGAAATTGTGCCAAAAGTTACTAAGATGACTGTATCTGGAAAGAAGCAAACTATGGGATTTGAAGTGCCCAGGTAAAGTTTTTAACTCTTCCTCCTTTTTTTGAAATTAGTATTGTCTCCTTGTTAGACTGTAAGAATCTATTTCAGTTTTGCATAATATAATCATTGAAGTACAATAGGTCCTCAGTATGGCATAATGCAAAGAAAAGGGGATGAGAAATTAGGCTTGATTCTAAACTTATCTATGTGTGTTAATCTACCTCATTGTCAATTTCCTCATACATATAAAGTATAGCTTCTTTACTGTCAAAAGCCTATGATTTTGTGAAATCTAGCACTGTGAGGTAGGGCATCCTTATGCCACTAGATGGCATAAACAAGCAGTGTTTGCGAATTAAATGTAGCTGGTGAATCATGCAATCATTAATTAAATTTTTTTGCTATTACCTTTAAACTCTTTTAGACTTTGATACTGAATAAAATGGATCAGTATAATAAAGACAAAATATAAAATAAAGCATACCTAGACTCACAGATATCTAATGAGAAACGATAATAAGTCATACTTAGATATTACTCATTTATTCTTTCTTTTCACAATCTTTAGAATTCTCTCAAGAGTTTCTATAGATGAGGAAAGTGGGTTGCTTGAGACATAACAGCAGAGTCATAACTTTAATTATATATGTTTTGTCTACCAGTTAGACAAGAAACACTTATCAGATATAAACAATATTATATTTTTTTCAATTTAAGGAAATACAACCTCAGCAGCCATTTTTTTCTCCTTTACAGTATTTCTTAATGTAAATTAATAGAAATATCCATGAGTGTCTGTTGGGTTGAATGTTAATGATTATTTCGTTCATTTTATTTATTTTTATTTTTTAGAAGCCAGATTTATTCATTCGATTTCAAATTCAGTGAGGGAAAGAACTCCATATCTAGGACATAGTAGGCATTCAGTATATGTTAGTTGAATGAATGGATGAATGAAAAAGTTAATTTTTAGTTTAAGTAACTTTAGCCCATTAAAATAATTTTGCATCCTGATTCATAACAAAAAGCTTAGTGTATGTCTTTTCTCTCTGAATTAGTCTTGGGTTGTTGGAATCATAAATACCTTTTTATTCTCATGTCTTGAGTGCCATTTAATCCTATTATGGAATTAATTCCATTGAGCAAGGAAAAAATAAATAAAATATGCAGTTCCTTGTTCTAAGGATTTTTAAATCTTATGCAAAAGGTTTTAGAGGCTTAGAAAGCAACATGCAAATGAGCCTAGTACAAAGAAAAGAGAATGAGAAAATGGGCTTGATTCTAGACTTGTCTATGTATATTTGTCTAAAAATTACAGCCCACGGGGTACTATATATTAGAAGTAAATACATAGTTATGGTTGTAAGTATTTATAACAGTAATAATAAATGATTAAAATTATTGTTAAATTATTAATTGAAATTATTAATATATAATTAATGATCAGGAAAAAATGCTCAATTCAAGTAGTAGTTTTTAGAATACTACCTTTATGCTTTACAAGTATAATGCAAGCTTTTCAGAATTTATAAGACTATATGCTTCATGAGGACAGGGACCATTAATATTAATCATTATTTTCTTTTCATAGAATAGTTGTTTAAGTATTTATTGATCAGCGTCCTTGGGGAAATACATTAAAAAAAAAACACAACACCTGGAAATAGTAAAACGCAGACCTGTGAGCTAGTATTTTGATGTGGCTCTGTAGGAGAAGTCATCAGAATGTGAAAGGTCTACAGGTACAGATGGAAAATACTTAGAAATGCATAAATATTGCTCAAGGACCAAGCTATATTTACATCAAATACTTTTATAGGATTTTTTGGGAAATTTATAGTAAGGATAATACTTAGGCTGTTGTTTTTATTTAGTCTCAAGAAAGCACAGAGAAATACAATTAAACACTTTTGAGTCAAGATTTCAGCATCATAGGTTTCTATATAATGTGATTCCCAGTGACTGCTTGTAAAAAAAAAAAGGGTAGTGCATTTCTTAGAATAAAGTGAAAGAGCCAACTTTTTCTTCACTATTAGTAAAGATAGTAAATACCTCTCTCGAAAATGCAGTGAGTAAAAATCATTAGAACGTTGCATAGAGAACAGATAACTCTGTGGTTAACCTCTTCAATCTAAATTATTAACTTTTCAGTATCATTTAAAGAACACATATATATGGAATTTAGATGGTAACGATAACCCTATATGCAAAACAGAAAAAGAGACTCAGATGTATAGAACAGACTTGTGGACTCTGGGAGAAGGCGAGGGTGGGATGTTTCAAGAGAACAGCATCGAAACACGTATATTATCTAGGGTGAAACAGATCACCAGCCCAGGTTGGGTGCATGAGACAAGTGCTCGGGCCTGGTGCACTGGGAAGACCCAGAGGGATTGGGTGGAGGGGGAGGTGGGAGGGGGGACCGGGATGGGGAATACATGTAAATCCATGGCTAATTCATTTCAATGTATGACAAAAACCACTGCAATGATGTAAAGTAATTAGCCTCCAACTAATAAAAATAAATGAAAAAAAAAAAAACAAAGAAACATGAAGCCTCTAGAAACATGTGGAAATATTCCCAGTTTTGGAAAGATGGTTTAAAAAAGCAGATCAGTCGTTTTATAGTAATAGAATAAGGTTAAACAATTATGTGTTAAAGCACCTTAAAAATAGTCACAAACTTATTCTTCCATACTTTCTTTCTTTCAGTCAGTAATTATAGCTCTGAACTCGTAATAGTTACTTTACCTCATCTTAAGAGATTTTTCAAAATCTTAATACATTAACTTTTACTTTATAATATGCAGAAGTTTTTACTCAGTACAGACTTACCTAGAATGCTTTCTAACTACATTGGCACTTTGCTCTAACACTGCATGGGTTAGTGAATTAAAATGCAGTTTTCCTAAAATTGAAGAAATGTTGTGAGAGTTAGAGAAAAGCAAATCTTCCATGTTGCTGAACCGTAAATGAGATAATCAAGACAGACCGTGTTTGCCCTCAGCGCACTGTGTCAGATCAGAGCTGTTCTGCTTCTGTCTGTTTTCTGTGTTGGAGTTACCATAAATCTTCCTTTGAAGAAAAGTCTCACTAAAAACAGAAAGATTTGAAGCCAGAGATTGTGATTTTTCCCAGGCCTGATCAGAACCAGAGTTTGTGACTAGTTTTTCTGGTTGAGTACTTTGACAGTAATTTGTAGGGTTTGTTTTTTTTCTTTACTCCTCGAAATACAGAGTTGTCATGTTTTTGTTTTAGAGAACTAGTTGTGGACATTCAAATAAATGTTTTAAAATTTCAGTTTAAATTTGATTTACTTAGCTTGGTTTGTTGGACTCTTTTAAGAGTGGGAACAGTTTCCACATACTTAAATTTTTTCCCTGTAGTTCGAGGTGAAGCTAATCTGTCTAAGCAGTGGCCGCTCAAGTTAGTGGAGATTTGCTAAAGCAAAATAAAACAGGAGTGGATAAGAGGCTTTTAATGAAGTTGAAAATATAACTAATGTGATTCTTTCCTGAGGCATGGGATGAGAATCAGTGTTGAGCATTTAAAAAATACCAAGAGAGAGAACAGTGAATCTGTTTTTGTTATGCTGGGCAGGAAGAAAAGAGATTTGCTGTTTGTACACATCTCCATCACAGTACACTCCTTAAGTGATCTTTGTAAACTTCTTTCTATATGTAATTCTTCTCTGCCAGCTCCACATTAAGATGGGTCTAATTGGTTTCATTCTAATAACTTGAAATTTAACCTGTTCTTTGTCCTGTCTTTATTTGTGTCATTGAAGGAAAGGTAAAGCACATCATAAGTCTGTTTGATTGCATTACATCTTTCTTAGCTATCCACAGGATAGCACTGGTATGATTTCCATGGAGGACAGTCAAGGAGCTAATGAAGAACTCAGTAAGAGCAGTGTTTACTTCCGGAGGCACTGTCGCTGTCAAGGAGGAAATAGGCCAGATGGTCTTATTTCTGTTTTACATATCTGATATCTGAGTTCCTTACTAGATTGTAAACTTCGGGGATCAATTGATAACCTTTTTGTTTCTATATCGTTTCTTCTCAGCATCAGTGACTAGTGTATGTTACAGTTTTTAGTGGATCAAGTATTTATTGAATTAATGAATTAAAACCCCTTTGCCAAAAGTAATAAAAATGTAGACATTTAGAGATACTTCCTTCAAGGACAGTGTTTGAGCAAAAGAAGATTGTGAGTCTCTGTGCTGTTGGAGGAATGAGTTAGGGATTAAAAACTGATAAAGCTATTGTTTTTTGTTTTTAATACGAATTTATCTGCTGGAACACGTTTGCTACCAATTTTTACAAAATATCTCCTTTATGCCACCTGTTTTGATAGTACTGTATGGCTGAGCTATGGGCTTAGACATTGAGTTTCAGTTACTTTATGGGATATTTTCTTCTTATCTTAGTTTTTAGTAGTCTGTTTTTCTCCTGGAATCTTCTAAGTCTGTATTTGTGTGGTTTGGGTCTAACTGCTTATCATTTCCACCTTAACAGACTCTAGCCACTTAGCGGAGATTATTTTTTGGTCTGCAGATGTAAGGAATATAAAGAGATGTCTCTGCCCTTCTGACATTATAGGATGTCAGTCAAATTGGTTTAAATATTTTTTTTTTAATTTGTTTTTTTATTGAAGGATAATTGCTTTACAGAATTTTGTTGTTTTCTGTCAAATCTCAACATGAATCAGTCATAGGTATACATATATATATATCCCCTCGCTTTTGAACCTCCCTTCCATCTCCCTCCCTACCCCACCCCTCTAGGTTGAAACAGCCCCCGTTTGAGTTTCCTGAGCCATACAGCAAATTCCCGTTGGCTCTGTATTTCACATATGGTAATGTAAGTTTCCATGTTACTCTCTCCACATATATCACCCTCTCCTCCCCTTTCCCCATGTCCATAAGTCTATTCTCTATGTCTGTTTCTCCATTGCTGCCCTGTAAATAAATTCTTCAGTACCATTTTTCTAGATTCCATGTATGTGCGTTAGAATATGATATTTATCTTTCTTTCTGACTCACTTCACTCGTATAACAGGTTTTAGGTTCATCCACCTCATCAGAACTGACTGAAATGTGTTCCTTTTTTATGACTGAGTAATATTACATTGTGTACCACAACTTCTTGATCCATTCATCTGTCAGTAGACATCTAGATTGCTTCCATCTTCTAACTATTGTAAATAGTGCTGCAATGAACAGTGGGATACATGTGTCTTTTTCAACCCTGGTTTTCTCAGGGTATATGCCTAGGAGTGGGATTGCTGGGTCATATGGTGGTTTTATTCCTAGTTTTTAAAGGAATCTCCTACCATCTTCCATAGTGGCTGTATCAGTTTACATTCCCACCAGTGCAAGAGCAGTCCCTTTTCTCCACACCCTCTCCAGCGTTTATTGTTTGTAGGCTTTTTGATGATGGCCATTCTGACCAGTGTGAAGTGTTATCTCATTGTGGTTTTGATTTGCATTTCTCTAATAATGAGCGATGTTGAGCATCTTTTCATGTGTTTGTTGGCCATCTTTATGTCTTCTTTGGAGAAATGTCTGTTTAGGTCTTTTCCCCACTTTTTGATTGGATTGTTTGTTTTTTTGGCATTGAGTTGTATGAGCTACTTGTATATTTTGGAAATGAATCCTTTGTCAGTTGTTTCATTTGCTATTAATTTTCTCCCATTCTGAGGGTTGTCTTTTCATCTTGCTTATAGTTTCCTTTGCTGTGCTTGTAAGTTTAATCAGGTCCCACTGATTTACTTTTGTTTTTATTTCCGTTACTCTAGGAGGTGGGTCAGAGAGGATCTTACTTTGATTTGTGTCCTTGAGTGTTCTGCCTATGTTTTCCTCTAAGAGTTTTATAGTTTCTGGTCTTACATTTAGGTCTTTCATCCATTTTGAGTTTATCTTTGTGTATGGTGTTAGGAAGTGTTCTAATTTCATTCTTTTACATGTATTTGTCCAGTTTTCCCAGCACCGTTTATTGAAGAGTCTGTCTTTGCCCCATTTAATATTCTTGCCTCCTTTGTCAAAAATAAGGTACCCATAGGTGCATGGGTTTATTTCTGGGCTTTCTGTCTTGTTTTATTGGTCAGTATTTCTGTTTCTGTGCCAGCACCACACTGTCCTGATGACTGTAGCTTTGTGTATAATCTGAGTCAGGAAGGCTGATTTCTCCAGTTCCATTCTTCTTTCTCAAGACTGCTTTGGCTGTTTGGGGTCTTTTGTATTTCCATATGAATTGTGAAATTTTTAGTTCTAGTTCTGTGAAAAAATGCCGTTGGTAATTTGATAGGGATCGCATTGAATCTGTAGATTGCGTTTGTAGTATAGTCATTTTTACAATATTGATTCTTCCTACCCAGGAACATGGAATATCTCTCCATCTGTTTATGTCACCTTTGATTTCTTTCATCAGTGTCTTATAATTTTCTGTGTACAGTTCTTTTGTCTCCTTAGGTAAGTTTATTCCTAGATACTTAATTCTTTTTGTTGCAGTGATGAATGGGATTGATTCCTTAATTCCTCTTTCTGAGTTTTCATTGTTAGTATATAGACATGCAAGTGATTTCTGTGTATTGATTTTGTATCCTGCAACTTTGCTAAATTCACTGATTAGCTCTAGTAATTTTCTGATACTATCTTTAGGGTTTTCCATGTACAGTATCATGTCATCTGCAAACAGTGAGAGCTTTACTTCTTCTTTTTCAGTCTGGATTCCTTTTATTTCTTTTTCTTCTCTGATTGTTATAGCTAGTACTTCCAGAACTATGTTGAATAATAGTGGCAAAAGTGGACACCCTTGTCTTGTTCCTGATCATAGGTGGAATGATTTCAAGGTGCTATTGGTGGTTGGGTGATGCCGGGTCTTGTATTCAAGTGGTTTCCTTTTTGTGAGTTCTCACTATTTGATACTCCCTAGGGTTAGTTCTCTGGTAGTCTAGGGTCTTGGAATCAGTGCTCCCACTCCAAAGGCTCAGGGCTTGATCTCAGATTATTCTCTATGTCGGCATGGGACTTCACTACTTGGCTTCTCTGCTAACACTCCCAAGAAATATCCCAGCACCTCTGGGAAAGCAGCGATTCTTCAAGGGTGGTCGCCAGACCCGGTTTAAATATTCTTTATTCCTGTCTCTGCCTTCTGTAGAGTAACTGCTGAAGAAAATGGTCATAGTTTCCACACACCTCAAAAAGCACACTCTAGTGAAGATACCAACCTTGTTTCTTCTGATGTACTTGAGAGTGCTTCTAAATCAGCTCTTCCATCCTACACCATTCAAGCATCAGAAGAGCAGAGTTCAACACCACCAGTGAAAAAGTCCAGCAAGCTGAGGCAACAAATAGATATCAAAGCGGAACTGGAGAAGCGGCAAGGAGGAAAGCAGCTGCTCAACCTAGTGGTCATTGGTAATGCCTTTTGTTCCTCTGGATTGTCAGTCAGCTGCTTGAGCCCAGTGACTGTCTAGTGGCAGCATGGGAATACACTCCACTCTGAGTTTCTGTATGGGTGTAATAGACATGAAGCAAGAGGGCATGGTACCCGTAATGTTGAGTTGTCAAGGTCACTTGGGCTGAAATAATGCCAAGTTGCCAAAGAGGTCATTAGACTTGGTTGTGGCCTTTTCATTTTGTGAATATTGGAAAATGGCATGTCTTGTTGATCATTTTGATTTCCAAAAATCAAGAAAACTTTCTCCCCTCTAAAGAGATATGCTCTTTTTCCTCCATTTTAACAACTTATTGGCAAACTATTATTTGATAAAAATTGGTGTTTATTGCTCTAAACTATTGAATTACAAATTCATGCTATGCCTCAATGTGAACAACATCTGGAAAATGTACCTATTTTTAAATCTTGAATCAATTTTCCTTAGGTCATGTTGATGCTGGGAAAAGTACTCTCATGGGACATTTGCTTTATCTTCTGGGTGACGTAAACAAAAGAACTATGCATAAGTATGAACAAGAGTCTAAAAAGGCTGGCAAAGCTTCATTTGCATATGCATGGGTCTTGGATGAGACTGGTGAAGAAAGGGAAAGGTAGTCATTATATATAAAATTTTCATTCTGAAATTGTATATAGTTTTTTAAATGATTGTGTAATATGTGTTGAATATGCATGAAACAAATCATGAAATATTTTAGATACTATTTTTAGAAAACTTTCAGTTATCAGGGAAATATTTTTATTGCAGTTTTGGTTGTAGTAGACTACAACATACAATGTTTTACTCCTTTAAATTCTGTGGAAATAGTTTGAAAGTATGTTTATAAAAAAACTGAAAGAAAAACACATACAGAAAAAGGCAGTAAAATCTCTTAGTTAATTATTCTGTGGAAGAAGTTTTGCTTCTCACTTCCCTGAGTATATGTCAAATTGTCTTGATTTTGAATTAACATTATGAGAAAGACTCTTAATTTAAAATTAGTATATATAGTGTTAAATGTATATATCCTATATATATATGTAGTTATTATAATATCAGTTTATAAAGGAAAAGTAACTTTTTGTAGTATACTATCTTTTGTCTGAAATCAAAATGACTAGTAAATTCAATTACAAGATTTAATTCATCTTTATACTTTCTTTACTATGTTTTTATGAGACACAGTCAACAAACAAGTAGTTAAATCTATCTCCTGCTATGCAGATCTAATCCAGTGGATTATTCCTGAACATGTAACTGTGTTCAATGCTAACTCTGGGAAGATTCTAGGAGAATATAGCCACTCATACCCTCTGACCAAAGTATTTCTTTTGAGGTCTTTTTAGAGTGGTAATATATCTCATGTTAGAACTTGAGACCCAATGGCACCTTTGTCTGGAAAGAAAGAGGATACCTTATAATTAAGTGAAATGGCAATTATACCTACAATCTCAAACTAATACTCTACAGCCTTCTGAAAGTCATAAATCAACTAAAAAATTACTCTGTGTCCTGTGATGTCTTCATTTTGAATATGATTAGAGAGCATTAAAAATATGTGTGTTTATTTTCTTGGAGTATTGGGTAATCTACATTATAATAGATAATTTTATTTATTTAAGTAAAATAAATAATTTTATTTATTTTCAGTAAAGCTGGTCACAATATTCCTTACCTCTTCTGATAAGTAGAATTTTACATCATAGTGGTTTGAATTTTGTAAATAATTTTTACCTGTCAGCATATCAAGTAGATTATTGAAGTAAATATATAGCTTTTTAGTTTTCTTTATACCATCTATCAAGTAGGTAGAGAGATTGAGAATTGTATCATTTAAGTGAAAGTGGCTTGTTTTAATTTATTTCATATGTGAGTTGAGCAGACAAGTAAGGTAATAATTTTTCTCTTTCTTAGAATAATTAATAACTTTAATGTTTTTAAATAATAAACCTGCTGGTTGGCTGTTATAACTTTTGCTACTGGTAGTTCTCTGTTGTTGCTCAGCATGCTACAATTTTTAGGACATTCCTTCCTCCTGTAGATCGTAGAAGCTTCCATATACATAATGGAAGTTTTAACTTACCACTATATTCCTTAGTAACAGTTTGAAAATGCAGTGAATTGCATATCCCACCATGTTAAATGCTTGTAAATCCTCTGTTCTGCTCATGTGTTGAACAGAAATTAGTAGTAGCCTGAGTAACATTTTCATATTCTTTTGGTTACACATGCAGAGTAAAGATAGGTCCAAAGCATATGGTCAAAGCGATCCAAGGAGGAGCTTAGGCTCAGTCTTGGTTCATCACTATTCTCAGATAATTATTTGGAGGTTATTAAAGAGAATTAAGTATTGTTTTTACAAGCTTAAATGGCCCATGGTTTCAGATTAAACTAGAATAATGTGACTAAGAAGACCCACAGTTACTTTACTGCTAAGATGAACATGTAATTTACCAGCATAATTGTTGGGATACTGCTAGTAAAAGAGTGCTCATTCCTTATTCTGGATTTTTCAGGGCAAACCAGGATGAATAATTACCTAATTTATTGCCCACTTGATTTCACTTTCTAAACTCCTCAAGTTTAGAAAGACTTGCTACTTTTGTAAACACTTCTGGACTTTCTTATAATCTGACTGTTTTTGTGGCTAAGAAGAGTACTGTGTTGGACTCCAAGAAGATTACATGGGATGCAAAAATCTCTTTGTCTCTCTTTGTCTCTCTCAGTTTTTAAGAAATTTTGCATCTCCTTTGTTATGTCTCGTTTGATAAATTGTAACATGCTGACCAACCTTGCAAATGAAAGTTTCACAAGTTTATTTCTATAATTACTGAAACATAAATGTAAGAAGATAAGGAAAAGTTCCGCTTGATAGTACCTCATTCTTCATTTTTATCTTTTCTCATGTGCAGTATTTGTTTCCCACTCCAGAGATGTCCCTATATTTCTTTCTTCCTTCGAAATTTATACTGCTTCTTACTGAAAAAAAAAAGAAGAAAGAAAATGGGAAACATCAATCATTTTGATTAAGCTCTTGTTGTGTCTACAACCTTGTTTTGAAGCCATACCAGCAGAAATTCCAGATAACCTAATTATTCAAAATAACAGATTGTATAATAGAATTCTCACTATTACTTAAGAATTTAGACTGTTATTTTTCCTATATAATTAAGTAACTTAATCTCTAAAGCTTGATTATTTCTATAGTTGTTCTAACCATTTTATGTTTTCTTTAAGGGGGGTGACAATGGATGTTGGTATGACAAAGTTTGAGACCAAAACCAAAGTTATTACATTAATGGATGCTCCAGGCCATAAGGATTTCATTCCAAATATGATTACAGGAGCAGCCCAGGTACCAGATATTTCCTTAACCAAAGTTACAGTGAATGTAAATAAAATTTCCTGATGCTGAGTTTATAATTCTAGGATTATAACTTGAAATACTAAAGTTCTAACCTTTTAAAAATTTTGAAAAAAATAGAAATATTGTATTTTTCATTGTCTATTTATTAGTACTGTATGAAACCTTAGAATTGTAATTTATTACAAAGTAGTGAATGTATAAAAGCCACAAGTTTCTTTAGTAAAAATAATGGTAGGGGCTTGATGAGGCATAACTTTGTATTTCATTTATTGATAAGTTGGAGTGAATATTTCAATATAAGCCTTTTTGTTACATTTATATTAGTATTCGAGTCCTGTATCTTTTTAAAGAGCTTATTTATGCAGAAATAGGGAGCCTTGGGAGTTTTCCCCCTGTGGTCTTAATGGAATTAAATGTACATGATTCTTAATAAGGGTACTGAAAAAAAAATTCAAAGATAATAACTTTAATTAAAACAATGAAAATAGCATTAGACATATGGAACACTGATTTCTTCTGTAATAGATGATTATTAGAAAATATGGAGAGTTCATAACACAATTATTTGTCCCTGTTTACTTAGGTTTTAATTTTATGTTTTTCTTCCTTTGCCCAGTTATTGTAATTGTTATGTAATCAAACATGGGAAGGTTTTATTCTTTATGTCATTATTTTTTTGACCACGTGCTAGTACTTTCTTCTCTTTAAAGTTTTAATCCATCTGTGTGACTCCTTTGATTTGCTTGTGTTTGGTGTCATGTTAGAGACTTCGTTTAAAATCTGAGCTGCACAATTACGTCAATAGTCTGTCCTTTGAATTCAAATGCTGTGACACTGTTTCTAGCTTGGATTTTTTTTTTTTTTTTTTTCGTTTTTTAGGCAGATGTAGCTGTTTTAGTTGTAGATGCCAGCAGGGGAGAGTTTGAAGCTGGATTTGAGACTGGGGGACAAACACGAGAGCATGGCCTCTTGGTTCGTTCTCTTGGAGTGACCCAACTCGCAGTTGCCGTCAATAAAATGGATCAGGTATTTAAAAGCGTTTTGAGTATTCATTTTAGATGCTGCTTAAGATGATGTTCTGCCATGTTGATGACCTCAGGTGTGACTAGTATACATTTTCTTAGTATACATTTTCTTAGGCCAGTTGTCATATTTTAAAGAATAAATACATGATGCTGATATTAAAATGAGGTATTAGTAGTATTAAGCAATAAGATAAATTTTTACTTTCAGAATTAACTTATAAATCTTAAAATCATTTTTAAGATACATAAATAATAAATTAAGATAAATAATTAATTAAGATAGATAAATAAATAAATAAATAAACAAATAAATAAAAATGCTTTATTTATTCTGGTATGAGGAAAACCTGAAATAAACTATATTTCCAGCCTCCCCCTCCTGCACATTTTTAACTTTTCATTTTGTACTTCCATTCAGTTTATTTTTGCACATAAAAATCTTTTTCTTTATAACATTGGGTTCTAGTCTGCTTCATTATCTACTTTTTTCAAAAAATTGGCAATATTCTTGTTTTTGTTTCTAAGTAACTAATACTTTTTATGTAAATAGGTTTTTACAGCTTTATTCTAGTATATTTTGAAGATATACTTTATTCAGACAGCCCCCTACTTTTGAATGTTTTCAGTTTTGTGCGTGTGTTTAGAAATAGTTTATTCTGTGGAAATTTCTGGGCCTAAGGATATATATGTTTTTAAGTCTTGTTGTACATGATCAGAAGGACTTCCCAGGTGGTGCTAGTGCTAAAGAACCCACGTATCCATGCAGGAGACATAGGAGATGTGAGTTTGATCCCTGGGTCTGGAAGATCCCATGGAGGAGGGCATGGCAGCCCACTCCAGTTTTCTTGCCTGGGGAATCCCGTGGACAGAGGAGCGTGACAGGCTACAGTCCTCATGGTTGCAAAAAGCTAGATATGACTGAAGTGACTTAGCCCACACACATGGACACACATTCTTTGTGTATTTATTTATCATTTGTATTTTTTTGAGTTTGTATAATTTCATTTTTTTAAAGTTTTAAAACTGAGTGATTTGTAAGCATAATTTATTTATTAAAGACATTACTATTTCCTTTTAATTTCTTTCTTTATGCATAGGTATTTTCTTATCCTGGGATCAAATACATATTCACCTAAATTTTCTACATAGTTCTTTTATGGTATCATCATTACATATACCTTTTATTTTTCCCCCAACATTTTAGTATGAAAATATTCAGACATAAAGCAAAGTTGGAAGAATTTTACAGTAGACACCCAAAATATACCTCCTACATAATATTCTTCCACTTGCTTGATCTCATTTTTGTCTGTCTACCGCTGGGTCCATCCATTAATCCATCTTATTTTGATACAACTTTCCATGTAACTTAGAAGTTATAGTCATTTTTACATTTACCCCTGATTACTGTAGCATAGTTACCTAGAATTCATATCACATATGAACATTACATATACTAAGAAGTCTTAGTATATGTATATATACTAAGTATATATACTTGATATATACTTATGTGTATACATATATATACTTGAGTATATATATATATACTCAAGTCTAGTTGACTTGAGTAGGTGTCAATAATTTTATGTTATTTCATTTGGTCAAGCAGTTGGTCCAAGCACAAATTTAATAAGTAACTCACTTTTTCTCCTCAGATTTGAATTCACTTTTAGAGGCAGCCCACTCCAGTATTCTTGCCTAGAATATCTCATGGACAGAGGAGGCTGTTGGGCTACAGTCCATAGTTTACAGAGTTTGACATGACTTAGCAGCTGAACAACAAAAACAAAATTAGCATACACAAAAAATTCTGTTTTGGTGTTTGGTTCCAGGCTTTCTGTTGTAGGAGAAGCTACTTTTCAATCATTTTAATAGTAAGATCTGACATTCTGAGCTTTAATTTTAAGTAGATTTCATATTTTCATAGATTTTATAATTATATTTCACAGTTTTAATTATTTATATTTTATTTCAGAAATTAAAATTTTTTATATATAGCATGGTCTTATGCATAGTTTTAAAAATAAATTGGATCTTTGTCAGGTTAATTGGCAACAAGAAAGGTTTCAAGAGATTACTGGAAAACTTGGGCACTTTCTTAAGCAAGCAGGTTTTAAGGTAAGATAATTTTAAATTTATTTGGTTACTTTTCTTAAGTCTCATCTTACTGATATGAGAGAAAACACTACTTTGATATTCTTGTCTTGTTCAGTATGTTTAATCCTTTTTGTTTTTATTTATCCCTGGTATTATATGTATCTTATGTTCTTTGGATTACTTTGTTTTAGAAAATTGCATAAATTGGCTTGGATTTAGTATAAGTAGAAGACTTTTTCTCCACTTAGTAGATGTATTGGTTTAGGGAGGTCACAGAGGAGTGTAGAAACAAGTAGAGAAATTTCTCCAGCAAAAGTATGAAATATACCTATGTTACTAGGTAAAAATGCCTGAGTGTTTTGGAACAGACTTGTAAGTTTCCGACAAAATAAAAAAGGTTGGAGACTGTTGGATCAGATAACAGCAGGGCAGTAGTTCTATGATTTAAGTTACTTTTTGAAAAGTACATTGTTACTTTTGCAAACTTGATACTGTTATGGTAATAGTGAACCTTTTAACTTTTTAAAAATAATGTTGTACTGGGAATTCTCTGGCTGTATGGTGGTTAGAACTCCTTGCTTTCAGTGCAGGGGACATGGGTTCAATCCTTGGTTGTGAAACTAAGATCCCACATGCCTATGGCACAGGCAAGCAAAAAAAAAAAGAAAAACAATGTTGTATTGAGTTTCATGTGTTCAATCCTTTTTTATAGGAAAGTGATGTAGCTTTTATCCCTACAAGTGGTCTCAGTGGTGAAAATCTAATTACAAGATCTCAATCAAGTGAACTTACAAAATGGTATAAAGGACTATGTTTATTAGAACAAATTGGTAAGACTACTGCCATATTAATTTTAATACTTTATAAACTTGATAGTAATTATTATTTAGAGTTCTTTATAGAGGACAGTGATTAATGTGAAAATGGATAGTGTTTATACTCAGGAGTGAGATTACCAGTTTTAGAATTATATGAATATTCAAATTGGTGCCAAATTTTTCTTGTTTAATTAATGCCTACTCCACCTACCTCACAGACTGTTGTGAAATTAAATAAGAAATGTGTGAAAACATTTCATAAACTACAAAGTATTATATGAATCACAGTCAATTTGCTATTAGTATTAAAAATATTTTCTAGGAGACATAGGAGTATAGTGGACTCATTGGACATGAATCAAAAATTGCTTTTAAATTAAATCTTTCTATTTTTACCATTTTTTCCCAGATTCCTTCAAGCCGCCTCAAAGATCTATAGATAAGCCTTTTAGATTCTGTGTATCTGATGTTTTCAAAGGTAAGTGCTAACTCTGTTGGCCTTCTCCAGTATGGCCCCTGCCTTTCCATTTTCTCTGGACCTCTGTTGTTGGACAAAATTATGATGTTGTCTTCAGATTCTCCCTTCTTTATGCTAGTGGTACATAATTCTAGTTACTTAATGCCCCCACCCAGAAAAATCTTCAATTTACTTACCATTTCCTCATATCTTACTTAGGCTTCCTTGGTGGCTCAGCTGGTAAAGAATCCGCCTGCGATGCGGGAGACTTGGGTTCAGTCCCTGCTTTGGGAAGATCCCCTGGAGAAGGGGAAGGTTACCCACTCCAGTATTCTGGCCTGGATAGTTCCATGGATTGTATAGTCCATGGGGTCACAAAGAGTCAGACACGACTGAGTGACTTTCACTTTCACTTTTATATCTTACTCATCTTCCAAGTGTAAAAAAACCTAGTTTTTTATCTTTCTAGCCTTGTAGTTTTGTTTTTTCTCCCTTTAGATTCCTTTATTTTCTGTATCCTTCAGCCAAACTGGATCATTCAATGTTTCTCAATCATATAGGGTTTTTATTGCCACTGTGTCTACCCATCTTGTGCTCTTCTCTCTCTTCACTTGTTCATTTCCTACCCATATGTAGCAGTTTTGGTTAGGAAATAGATGTGACACATAGGTAAAATAGGAAGTTTAATATAGAGAATTATTAATATGATAAAAAAGAGTGACTGTAAGATACCAGGGACCTTATGGGACCCTAGGACTGATCATGTGAACCCAAGGAAGGACAAACTTAGAAGAGGTGTTAGAGGAGGTATTGTATTAAATGTCTAAGAATACATCTAATTTAATGTTTACAAGGCCTTACATAAAAAATATAACATGGAAATGAAATAAAAGTTCTTAATAAATAGAAGAATATAATGTACTTAACATATTGGAATAATCAGTATGGTAAAGATGTCAGCTAGTCCCCAAATTTTCATTACCACAGAGTGGGCAGTAAAGAGTAGATTTGGAAATGAGCAGCTATAAATTGACAGTCTGGAGGTGATAAGTGAGGTCATCCACACACATACCCTAAGGTGTTCCTCTGTGGTCTGTGTGTGCTCTTGTTGCATTTTTCACGCAGTGTTATACTTGTTTCTGTGCTGTTAATTTCCTTTAGATTGTGAACTCCTTGAGAGCAAGTACTGTCACTTCTATTTCAATATTTGCAGCACCTAGCCCAGTGGTTGGCATATAACACATACTTAATAAATGTTTAATAAATGAATAAATGAAGGTGTGTCACAAAAATCATTCAGTGAAATTAAAATTTATTATTATCATCTTCCAGCATTCTAGTAGAAGAGAAATTACGGTAATGCTTTTCAAAATGCTACTATTATCTATTTAAAAAATAAGATGTGCTTAATTCTTTTTCTGACTAACAGCCTTTGCTGACTACTTTTTACCCCCTCTTCTTTCTTCAGGCTGCTCCCTGGCTTCCGCCTGCATTGCCTCCTCAGTGTTCCCACTGAGGTTATCAAATGACTCCTTGGTTGCCAGTGTCAGTATGCCTTTTTCACTTCTGTCTTACTTCCATCTTACTTGAATTTGGCATTTCCTCTGAGGCTGCTAGCCACATCCACCCTGAAGCTTTTCCCCCTTGGTTTCTGTGACCCACTTTCTCCTGCTCCACTGTTTGACCTCTCTCTATTGCCTCTGGCCTCCTCTTTCTCTGTCCTTTAACTTGTGTTCTGTCACTTCACTTCTCTTACTCTGCACGCTTCTTTTGACCGACATCCATGATTTCTTCTATCTCCTACATCTTGATGAACCCCAAATCTTCCACCCAGACCTGTTCTCACCCTGCAGATATATCTGCTGACTGCTGCTGGGCATCTCCACAGGGAGTGTGCTCCCAGGGCTCCATTCTCGTGGATTTGGTATGATTGGGGCCCCCTTGAATGTGTCTTCTTCACCTATCTGCCTTGCGAACACTTCAGATTCACCGAAGCTAAAAGGAATCTTGTTCTTTAATTTTCTGTCTCACGGTTAATACACATCATCTCAGATTTCTCTTATTTTTGCCATTATTCCCCACTTACCTTATCACCTTAAATCTGTCATGCCTCATTCTCAGATTCTTGAGTTTCTTCTCTTTTTACAGTTAACATATGCATTTCAGTCAACCTCTCCACTCTGACACATAAATACCATCATGTCACTTCTCCATTTCACAACTCTTCACTAGTTTCCAGTTACTTAGCTGAGGATGAAATTCAAACCCTCAGCATGATTTATGAGGCACCACTGTTATTTGTTCCGTGTCTGCATCCTTTGCTTCCTCTCCTGGCTTCCCCTCGTTATTCCATACGGCCCCGTACAGACTCCAGGTGAATGACACCTGGCCCTTGGCACAGCCCACGCCCGTTTACGACTGTGCCTGTGTACACGCCTACAGTCTGCCTGCCGGACTCCTGACTCTTGCTCCTCTCAGTGCCTGGCTGAGGTGTAATCACTGCCCATTAGTAGGGATTCTTGGACGCGTCTCGTTTTGTTTCTGTTGCACATTATAAATAACTTTTGTCTTGGGACAGTGTAATTGTTTTTCCCTTTCTCTTCACTGGTATAGACTCCTTCTAGGTAGAGGCTTATATTTGTATCTCTTTATTCCCAGAGTTTAGCACAATGCCTGCTATTTAGTAAGCATTAATAAATATTGGAAGAAGGAATTCCTACTTTTTCTTATATAAATATTTTTATTTATAAGAAAATAGAATGTGGTGTACCATATTTAATAGATTCCTTAAAAATTCTGAAACAATCATTGCTTAATGTTCATTGAACTACTGCTTTCACATAGTTAGTAGGAAATGGTGGCACTAATGGTAAAGAACCCACCTGTCAATGCAGGAGACGTAAGAGAGGCGGGTTCGACCCGTGGGTCGGGAAGATCCCCTGGAGGAGGGCGTGGCAACCCACTCCAGTGTTCTTGCCTGGAGAATCCCAGGGACGGGGGAGCCTGGTGGGCTGCAGTTCATAGGGTCACAGAGAAGCAGACACAGCTGAAGTCACTTAGCAGAGCATGCAGGGAACTAAGTATAGCTAGCAGTGTTAAGCATCAGATGATATGTTAAGTAAACCATAACAAAATTGTGGCATGTTTTGCAGATCAAGGATCTGGATTTTGTGTAACTGGCAAAATTGAAGCTGGTTATATCCAAACTGGTGACCGACTACTAGCAATGCCTCCTAATGAAACTTGTACTGCAAAAGGTATTCCTCTGCAAAATTCTTTTGTTAAACAACCCTTACATTGAGACAGCAGATTTTTAAAAGTAGTTTAGTTATTAACTCCAGAGTAAATAACCTCTTACTGAAATTGTAACTGACTGTCAAAATGATACTAACTGTTAAAGATAAAAATGTGAAAACATTAAACGATTTTTTTCAGTTGTGACTATGTGTGTATAAATGTATATATAACATTCTTACTGTGGTGGCATTTTTCTTTTTTCTTGACATTGACTCAAGAAGCCTGGATAGGACTGAACCAGATGTATAGACACCTGTCAGATACATTTAAAATAGTATTCAGTAGCAGAAATTAAGTCTGACCCCATCCTGACACTGAACAGTCAGTGGCAAAGCAGACTGCTACAGTCTGTTGTTTTGAAATGTGTATTTCAGAATTACTATGTTATCAATCTATATCATGTTTATACCCCCAAAATTTTTTTACAGGAAGACCTAAGTAAGAAAATAAGATGCAAATGCAGAGAATCCTGGTGTTGAAAAGAGAAATTGAGCTAGTTTTAAATGCCACAATTATTGCTTTTGCACGCATGACTTTTCATTATAGCTAGTAACTGTTTCTTTCTTCTAATCATTTGACCATGTGTACATATTCTTCTTTTTTGAATTCTACTTTTAAGTTTATAATTCTGTTCTTACCTTAATCTAGCTTCCAACTAAATTTCTGATTTCAACATTAAACTGAAGATCTTTATACTGTAAATATCTGTAACAATTTTAAGCTAATTATAACCTACTGGTAATGTTAAGATTTAAAAAGATTTTTCTACTTTTCCTTCTGTTTGTTGTTGTTTAGTTGCTGAGTCATGTCCGTCTGTTACTCTTATTTGTAGTTTATAACCAGAGTTGTACCTAACTAGCTTATGAATTCAAATGTATGTTTTTTGAATTGCTCTGTTTACTTTAAAAACTGCTTCCTTAAGGATTAAGAAGAAATTAATGAATATCTGCTAGGTAACAGACTTTAAATTTAAGGATGAATAAGGGAATGAAAGCCAAAGTTATTTTACACTTTTTAAAAAGGAATCATTTTTCATAATCCTGTTATTTGCAAGTTTAAATCTCTGCTTTTGTCTCTTAAAGTGGTCAAGAGCTGAAATACTTTTGAAATACTGGTTTCTTTATACGTTAAGGAGCTTTTTAAGAATAGGAAATTTTTTTATATAATCATTTAGACATGAATTCAAACCATGATCATAAACCATGGTCATGGACCTTACAGATTGGCTCCTTTGTGAACTTCCAAGCTATAATTTGGTCACTTCTGAGAGTTCCATGTTCTTTGTCTTTTCCCATTATGTTTCTACCCCACCAGAAAAATTCCAACCACTTCTCTTTAGTCCAGTGGTTCTTAAAGGGAAGCTATGTCAGAAGCACCACTTCACTCTGTGAGAATCACCCTTCTCGCCCAGTTTCTCACTCTAATGCTTTTGCTTGGTTTACTTGATTGTTTAATGCACCTTCTATCTGAACACTTTAAGTACTGCTGTGGCTCACTAACCAGTAATATCCTAAAAAAGAGAACTGACTGAATCTGCTACCAACAAATGGAAATTCTAAATTACATTTTCACTTAGAGTGTTAAAAAAGAACTTACTCCAATGAAAAATGTTCTTAAGAAAGTAAATATTGCTGTATAGGACAGTATACCATGTTTGGGGGAAGGAAATCAGATTATATGTTATCTTGAGAAAATTTTATAATTGAACTTCTAGTATGAAAACTCCTAATTCTAATCTGAAGGCAATCTTTAGTCTATGAGTAGCTCCTGATTTCAATTCTACATTTCAAACCGAAAATCACATATGGTCATTTTAAATGTACATGAAAAAACTAAATTTAATTAGTTTAAATTGTAACCAACGTTTAAAAATATCATAATTGTTAACATTTTGGGAGTCAGGAACCTCTTTGATACCTTGATGAAAGTTATGGCCCCTCTTCTTAGATTAATGCAGATGTACACCTGCATGAAATTTGAATAAAGCTTTAGATTGTCTCAGAGCCCTTAAAGTTCTCCTCGAACTCCCAGAGAGTCTCAAAGAAACTCATTTAAGAGGATGCTACATGGGAAAGATAAGTACTTTGAGGAATAGATGGGTGAATTGTAATTTACTAAAAGCATGTCAATCAAGAAATATTCCCCAGTGGTTGGCCTACATACTTTTTTCCACAGAAGACTCAAGTTACAATGGAAAGGAATTTACCCTGCAGAATCAGAAAAATATGAACAACTTTTTAAAAGCCTTTATTTAAATACCTGAGTGTTATTGCCCTTTGCCTTTGTACTCCAGGATTTTCCCTAGATAATAAAGGTATATAGCAACTACTGGGATCATTTAAAAATTTTTTTACACTATGAATCTCCTTTTCATATAACTGTTTATTGCTGTGGATCTCTCTCTGAGAAGCAGTTCTCTTGAGCTGGGAATAGTGAAGGGGCGTGCTAAGGGCACCATCTGACTGAGTACTGACGCCCTGTAGGTTACTCGGAGAACACAGGAGATTGTTGACGTGGTTGTTTAATTAAAGCAGTGCTCAAGAGAATAAAATATTGCTAAGCATTTCCCCCAGTCTCATCATTTATGTTATTAAAAATAATTGGAGCTGTTCTTTTATGCCTGCATCCATTAATGTAAGAGAGGTATTGCAGTGGGGCCTATATAATGAGTATACGAGTTGTGTAAATGAGGTTTAAAAATTTTGGTTAAATAAGTAGAAATCAGCCTTTTATGGACAAATGCAAGTCACTCTATGTTTAGGGTGGTGGTCCAGAAGGACAGATGCAAGTCACTCTATGTTTAGGGTGGTGGTCCAGAAGAGTCAAGTCTGGAGGAAGTGTGTTTTCCTCAACGCTCACAGTTAACACTTCTCACTCTCAATCCATTCATATTGAAAATGATGAGTAGTGACTGATGAGGTACAAATCAGCCAGACTCCTTTGGTTGTTATGGTTTGATATTGAGGTGTTTCACTGTATGCTTTAGTTCTTACTCATTTCCAGGAATCACTCTGCACGATGAACCTGTCGACTGGGCGGCAGCAGGAGATCATGTTAGTCTTACGTTGGTTGGAATGGATATCATCAAAATCAAGTGAGTGAGAAAATGAGTTTAAACAACCATTGTTATGGACATAGAACTTCAAAACACGTAAAATTTGCAGTTCACCAGCTCAAATGAAAGAATGAGTGTTAATTCTGAATTTCCTTTGGCCAAAAATAGGCACTTGTGGAAGTATAAGAATAAGTAAAATCTACTAAAATTTAAATTAATACACGTCAGCAGGTATACCTGATGTGTTCTTTGAAGGAAAACTGTAGTGTGTGAAAATGATATCAGGTTAATAATGGTGTAAAGCCATGCTTTAACCTAGAAGGGAATATTTAAAAGTCCCTAATTTACTCGATTGTTTTACTTTGTAAATGGTTTTAGAGGTATTCAATATGTGTTTAATTATTCCCCCAACTACCTGCTCTCCTTTTTTTTTACTCTCCTTTTTTGTTTTTTTTGTTGTTGTTGTTACAGTGTTGGCTGCATATTTTGTGTCCCCAAAGAACCCATTAAGGTTTGCACTCGTTTCAGAGCCCGAATCCTCATCTTTAATATTGAAATTCCTATCACTAAAGGATTTCCCGTAAGTTTCAAAATGTTTGTTACTGTTTTTGTAAATTCACTGTAACTTTGTCCTAGGAAGTGGTAACTGTCGTTATAACTGATGATGCTATTGTTATTTTCAACTACCATTGTATTACTCTAATCCAGAAAAACATGAAATCAGAATTTGAAAATCATGTTTTGCTTTTTATTTTGATCCGTAAGTCTGGCATTTATTTTCAAAGAGTCAGTGAGAAGAAATTTAATAATCAATAGGATACAAAGTGATGATAGTAAAAACAAATTCATTTAAGGAAATTGGTAGATTACTTTTTTTGCTGAATTCTAAAGATTACTTCTTAGATTGTGTCTTTGTTTTTTTGGAATTTTGGAAAACACAAAAATAAAAACAATAACATTCTATAATGGCACAACCTATAAATATCTATTCTCTACATTTCAGAGTATTTTTTTTGTGTACGTTGGTATCTGGTATATTCTGGGGATACTTGACATAAGGTAAACTTTGTGCTGAAGCTGTGATGTTGGTTTGCAGGTCATCATTGACTAGCACCATTTGAACATAACATTTATGGGAAGAGGGATAGTGGTGGTGGTTTAGTCGCTAAGTTGTGTCCAACTCTTGCAACCCCATGGACTGTAGCCCATCAGGCTCCTCTGTCCATGGGATCCTCCCGGCAAGAATACTGGAGTAGGTTGCCATTTCCTTCTCCAAAATCAGATCTTACTATGGATCTATATGTTATATTGATGGATCTATAATTATATATATGTGGATCTGTATATGTATATAGATGGATCTATATATGTGTGTGTATGTGTATGTAGGATTTCCATGGGGTCACAAAGAGTCGGACACAACTGAGCGATTTTCACTCACTCACTCACTCGTGTGTGTGTGTGTGTGTGTGTGTATAAAACTATGGATCAATATACTGTATTGTTACTTATCTAGGAAGGGTTTTTGTTTTATGTGTAATTTTTTTTCAGATATTTGGGATCATACTCTGTTTATAGTTTGGTACCTTGCTTTTGCTGTTTAACAAATGGGCATTTTCCCCACTAGACTTATCTTTCTTTTCTTGATCAGCTTATATAGTACAGGTTCTCCACAACAAAAAAAAATGTTTCTCGGTGGAATTAATGGCTTGCCCCTGAAAATATAGACAGATCATTTTCTCCATTTGATGCAGCTCTGAAATAAAAGTAAGGCAGTAATAGTAATTGACCTTTAAACTTTATTTAAATTAGTGATAGTATTTTAAGATCGGAAATAAATTTATTTAGCTCCTTTAAATTTATTTTATACCTCTGCACCTTTATTTGAGATAACTATATGCTTTGATATAGTTCTGTATAATGATTTCTTTGTAAATTTGATCTTATGAAAGTATATTTGTAAGATATCATTTAAGCATTTTAGTTTTATAATTATATTTCATTTCTCCCATGCTAAAAAAAAAATAGGCAAAAGTTTCTTTCCAAATACTTGATTTTTAAATATTCAGAATTCACATGTTGGTAGGAAAGAAATTGCTCTGAATGACTTGCACTCATTCTTAGAAAGCAGCATGTCCAGTGAGGAGAAGCTGGAGAAGTTGGTTACTGTGTCTTCACTCATGCAGCAGTAATCTGCCAGTGGAGAGGTAGAGAGCAAGAAGTCAGTAATTACTGTGAATAGTAACACTGTCTTCCTGTGTACTGTAGTTTCTTTTATGAATTACGTTTTTCAGTGCCGCTTTATGAGATTCCACTCACATATGTTGATTGATGAATGCCAGGATGAAATTTGTCTCAGAAAACAATGGTCATGTTTTGTCATTTAATCCATTCTCTGTGGGAAAAAACTCACAATTTTTAAAAGTTTAACCAAGAAAAGGCTTCCTGAGCAGTTAAAATACCGCTGTTTAGGGACTAGTCCTTTAATACATATTTTTTGTTTCTCTTGTTTATATGGTAAACTCTGTATATTTAAGAAGGAAAAAACACACGAATGAATTAGACTTTAAATTTCATGTTTTGATTTTTATTTTTTTATTGTGATAAAATATTTATAATGGAAAATTTACCATTACTGTAAAAAACTGCATTTTTAATGCAGTTCAGTGTCATTAGAGTGCATTCACCTTGTTGTGTAACCGTCGGCATTATCCACCCCCAGAACTTTTTTCTTGTCCCAAACTGTACCCATTAAACAGTCACTCTGCTATTACACTTTCTCCCATCCTCTGGTAGCCACAGTTCTGCTTTGCCTCTCTCTGAGTTTGCCTGCTCTACATCCCTCATGTAAGTGGGATTATACAATATTTGTCCTTTTGTGTCTGACTTCTTTCACTTAACATAATGCTTTTGAGGTTCATCCATGCTGTAGCATGTATCAGGGTTTTGTTTCTTTTTAAGACTGAATAATATTTCATTGTAAGTATGTACCACTTTTTGTTTATCCGTTCATCTGTGGATGGATATTTGGGCTGTTTCCATCTTCTGACAGATGTAAATGATGCTTCTATGAACATCAGCATACAAGTATCTGTTTGAGCCCCTGCTTTCAATTCTTTTGGGTATATATCTAGTAGTGGAATTGCTTGATCATGTGGAAATTCTGTGTTTAACTCTTGAGGAGCCACTAAACTTTTCCACAGCAGCTATACCAATTTTGCATTCCTACCAGCAGTACACAGGGGTTCTAATTTCTCCTCTGCCTCATCAACATTTATTTTCCTTTCTTGTGTGTGTGGGGGATGACTTTTTGTTTGTTGCTTGTAATAGGTAAACTAATGATTTTGAAGGGATGTATCACTGTGGTGTTTGATTTGTCCTTCCCTAATGGCTATTGTTGTTGAGCATCTTTTCATTTTTTAAAAAATATATTTTAGGTTTTAATTCCATATCAGTGTATCATTTGCAGATACCTTCTTCCATTCTGTGGGTTTACTTTTTACTTGTATCCTTTGATGCACAAAAACCTTAAACTCTGCTGATGTCCAGTTTATTAACATTCTCTTTTTCTTTTTTTTGCTTTACTTTTGGTGTCATATCCAAAGAGTCATTGCCAGATTCAACACTGAGAAGATTTCCCCTTCTATTTTCTTCTAAGAGTCTCATAGTTCTAGTCCTTTTATTTAGGTCTTTGCACCACTTTGAGTTAATTTTTGTTTATGGTATAAGGCTTCATCTTCCTTCTGTTGGATCTCAATATCCCATTTTCCTAGCTCTATTTGTTGAAAAGACTGTTCTTTCTCTGTTGGTGGTTTTGGCACTGTTACTGCTGCTTAACCTATTTGATACTAATTTCCTTACATGTGAAACATGAGAAATAATAGCTAATATATAAGGTCATCAGTTCACTTCAGCTTTACCGTGTATTGGGCACCACTTTGCAGTAACATTGTCTGGTGTTCCTCACTTAGTGACAAGGACCTGAGGCTGGGGATATCGGGGGTGGAGGGGTGGGAAGGGTTATTATAGGACTTGTCCCAGCTCACATGCCTAGAAAGCGTGGAGTAAGGATTCAAATTCGGGTCTGCCTCACTTCAAAGCCTGTCTAAACATCCATTTAATACTCTAGTCTCATTATCCAACAATAAATAATATTCATTACTGCTGAATGTTACATAGTTTCCCTTCCCTCGTTTTTATGATGAAACCGTTCACATTTGCTGAACATCTCCTGTACCAAGCACTGTCTCTGATGTTATTTCATTCTCATCATAACCACATAAGGAAGGTTATGTAATTTACCCAGGTTTCCACTGTAGTGGTGGAGGAGCGATTGGAACTGCTTCCCATGACCTTACCCCTCGAGAGTTAAGGGACCGCCTGATGAGAGTGGTGGAGCTTCAAGGAAGCAGCTGGAGATCCCGTGACTCCAGGCAGTAGTTCCGAGGCTGATGTGATGCAGTGTAAGTGCCAGAGTAGAAGGCCAGAGATGCTATAGCCAGCAACTTTTTTGTGTTACAATTCTTTTTTCAGGTGCTGTTACACTACCAAACCGTCAGTGAACCTGCTGTTATTAAAAGATTGATTAGTGTCTTAAGCAAAAGCACTGGTGAAGTCACAAAGAAAAAGCCTAAGTAAGTATTTTAATGAGTAACAAACACAAGTAAGTACATTTCTTACAGATGAATTCATTTGTATAATATTTCTCTTTGTGATAAGTGAATTCTCTTTGTGATAAGTCTATTTTAACTTGTTCCAGAAATTTTTTTAAAGGACTGGGTGAAAACACAAAAACAAATATTTAAGCTCCTATTTTAGGTAGGAATGCTTGATATAATTTCTGTTACATATGATAGTGATGAGTGTGCATTGTAAATAAAAATATAAATATAAGTTTTTATTTAACTATTAAGCCCTAGATTCCGATGATGTAAAAATGAAGTCATTTTAAAAAATCAGTCTTACATTTTTGAAGATGAGTTTGATTTATGCCTAGCCACTTGTCCCAAATTCCAACTGATTGTTCTTCTATACTATCTTGTCACCTCCTCATGAGAATCATGCCCTGTACTGAGAATACCTCAAGGAGAAAGTGACCTATACACTGTTTTTTTCCCACCTGGGAGGTATCCTTTTTTCCTCCTTAAAGTTGCCTGGTGCCTTGGGCCGAGATGATCACAAGTCGGTCCCCTCTGATTACCGTTAGTATCTAGGTCTGCGTGTGGACAATTCCCCTTTGGCTGGGATAGGCTTGGGATTTTTCAGAGGAAGTGCTTCCTGAGAACCTTGAGTTTCTTACTCTAATTCAACAAAAGACTGACCACAGATTGGCTTGGCTGCTTCAGCATTGGGGTTTTCCTCACTTCAGCCCTATGGGGAATCCCACCCAAAATCCCCTTTCTTAAGTCCTGGGGTATTCCTCCTCATTTGCACCTGTGTAAGAGGCCAAGGTGGCAAGAGGGTTAATTTAGGGTTGGTTGCAAGTAGAAGACAGAACTTCACACTACTCTAACACCCATGTCTGTTTCTCCATTACTTAGAAAAAGGAGGCTACTTAACCCCTCTTTTAAAGATAGTTCTTTATTTTTAACCCGAATCTCTAGCTTCTAGCATGAGTGCTTGCCATAATGTACTGAGAATTGTCACAGAACTAATCATGACTGATGTTTCTTGAGGACCACTATTCTCTTGGTTCTGTCATAAGTGCTTTTGTGTGGTTTACATTCTCAGCTACAATATGAATCAAATATTATGCTTCCCATTTTTCAGATAAGGAAACTGAGGCTTAGAGAGATTGTATAACATGTTCAAGATCACAAAGCTAGCAAGTGGCAGGCTCAAGATTCTAATCCAGTCAGTTTGTTCACATAAATTATATTTTTTGGCAGGACCCAGGCTGTTGGACTGAGATATAAGTGATTTGGAAAGTTCTCAATCTGATACTGACTCATCAGATCTAATCCTGAATTTTCCCCTCCCTGCTCCTGCTGCAGAGTCCTAGCTCAGTGATGCTGACACCAACATCATTTAGCCTTTCTGCTTTGCTTCTACTTGAGGCACGTTGTAGACTCGATTGATTTATATGGGATGGAGTCAAACTTTCTAGAACCAAACTTAACTGCAAATTATGAATATATTAAATGTTCCCCTTCCTAACAAATGGGACCTTAAGCTGAAATTGCCCAAAACCAGCATTTGGAATTTTGGGCATACTTCTTTGGAAACCTTGGTTTTTTCTCTCTTTCTGTCCCTAAAGCAGTCTTTCAGAAGGGGGGTTTTTGATTGCTGTCCTCTAGCCTTCTAGAATACATCAAAATTGAATTAGAGAATGTTTCTAAATGTCCCCTTTGGGTTCTGCTTCTTTTAGTAAGCTGGCGGGGCCCATGCACAAGGATTTTTATTTGTTTGCTTATTTGTGTGGAGCTGTTTACAGTCAGGCCCATGCCTCATCTGCCTTCATTTCCTACAAACAGCGTGTTGTGGGAAAATCTTATGTGTTTTTATCTTGAACCGTCTGTTAAAGAACCACTGTTCCCAGGTGAGAAAAGAGAGAGGAGGGAAGGAGAGAGAGAAGAGAACTCTCAGGTAGCGTGTTGACACTAGGAAAGTGTCCTCTTTGAAGATAACTTTTTAACACATAATCTACCAATTAGGACTTTACTGGGTAGGACATAGGACACTGCGTCCCACTTTTAAAATGCAAATGCATCATTTTCTTTAATTTCATGAGGGAATGAAAGAGAAGGCTTATGTGCAGAGGTCCTGAGTATTTTAGATTATAGGATCCTTGAAGGGGTAGAGTTATATTTGGAGGATTGTTTAAAAAAATATGTGTATATGTATGTATGTGTGTGTGTATATATATATGTGCATACACATGTCTGAACTAGCTAATATTTCTTAAATCTAGAACTACTCTTCTCATTTCTTTCAACTAACTGCCCCAAATTTAAAAGCATATATTTTCATTTAGAGAAAATCCCTTTTTTCTTTTTAAGTTTTTTTAAAAACTAAGTTGATTTATAGATGGAATGTGAAATGTTTATTTTGCAGGTTTTAATTATATTTTTTACCTCTAATAGATATCCGTTGGTTTCTTTTATTTTATTTTTCATGATAGATTGTTGACCAAAGGCCAGAATGCATTAGTGGAGCTACAGACACAAAGACCAGTGGCTCTTGAGCTGTACAAAGACTTTAAAGAGCTGGGGAGATTCATGCTGCGCTACAGTGGTTCCACCATAGCTGCTGGTGTAGTGACTGAGGTATTTCAAAGTGACTGATTATGTGTCCATGGTTATTATGTCTTGTCTTTTTCTACTTTTTAAGAATGATTCCTGAGATTTTATGGCTTAAGGGGAATAGTTATGATATTAGAATAGCATTTTAAAAATTATATTAAAAAATTAAAAGAATGATGAGAGGAAAATGTTTGGTCTTAGATCTTCTCATAATAAGACTTCCAGATTATCTTCTCCACCAGTAATATTGCTCAAAATTAAAGGAAATCCATTGAAAAACAGTTATGTAAGTATGCAATACAAATCATGAAAATATAGACTTTAAGAGTCAATGAATTGGGGGTAGTCGTTTTGTTTAACAGAAACACCCTCATTACTTTTTTTCTTTAAATAACTAGCTCTTAATGCATTCATTCAGAAAGTTCAGTTAACATACCAGTAATGTTTCTGAAACATACCTAATCTGTAAGGATAAAGTAAGGTACAGCTGAATTTTGGAGAAGATAGCCAGAAATGAACCAGAATTTCATTAACTTTCATTTTCTTCCACAGTATGATGTGTTAATATAGATCTTATGAATATGAGCATGCCTCATTTTATTATACTTTGTAGATATTGCATTCTTTTAGAAATAAAGGTTTATGGCAACTTTGCCTCAAGCAAGTCTATAGGCGCCATTTTCCCAACAGCACTTGCTCACTTCATGTCTCTGTTTCACATTTTGGTAATTCTTGAGACGTTTCAGACTTTTGCACTTTTTGTTAGCTTTGTTGAGCTTCTCTGATGGCTCAGATTGTCAAGAATCGGCCTTCAAGCAGGAGACCTGAATTCAGTCCCTGGGTGGGGAAGATCCTCTGGAGAAGGAAATGGCTGCCCACTCCAGCATTCTTGCCTGGAGAATTCCAAGCCTGGTGGGCTACAGTCCGTGGAGTCACAAAGAGTTAGATAGGACAGTGACTTCAGTACTCACTTGCATTATATTTGTTATGGGTGTCTGTGATCAGTAATGTTGCTGTTACAAAAAAAATTACAACTCACCCAAGGCTCAGATGATGATTAGCAATTTTTAGCAATGAAGTGTTTTAAGTTAAGGTATGTACATGTTTTTTTAAACATAATGCTACTACACTCTTAATAGACTATGGCATAGTATAAATGTAACTTTTCTATGCAGCGGGAAACCAAAAAAAATTCCTATGACTCACTTTATTGTGATTCTCACTTTATTGAAGTGGTCTGGGATCAAACCCACAATATCTCTGAGGTATGCCTGTATTTTTCAAAGGGGCTTCATTACTTCATATGATTGTTTTCTGCATAAAAATTACTCACTTCATTTAACTGGGTGGATAACTTTTGACATGGGATTCATGTTGCATCAAAATTCAGTTATACATACCTGTGTCATATAGAAGGCTCTGGACTTAAACATCAGCCCACGTTTGAGTTACTGCTCCACTAATGCCTAGCTGCAGAAGCATAGCGTTTCTCCTGTCACTGATTCATCTGTGAAAACAGGGTAATAGAATCTACTTTCTGGAGTTGTGAAATGAAATGATCTGTATAAAGCACTTGGCACAGTGATTGGCATTTAGAAAGAATTCAGTAAATGTTACCTAATATCTTTGTCATTAGCCTTTGCATTTAATTTGTCAGAACATTCTTTATAAAAGAGCATTCTAAAAATAAGATGCAGTTTCTTGTTTAAAATAATGGAGAGATTATAGAAAATCTCAAATAGCATGACTAGGAAAGGAGAAAAGTTGCAGGAAAAACAAAAAGTTCTGTCTGATATAATGATTACTCTCCTGCCATTTTCCTTTTGTTTGTTGTTGGTGGTTCCTTCTGTGTAATGTGATTGGTTAAATTGTAGCAAATACTTTTTTTCTCTTTTACAGATAAAAGATTGATGGCTCAGAATTTCTACCATGTTTCTAAATGTAATGAGATATCTAACCTCCGTTTTGAAAGAATCCAGTTACTCAGTTAAAGCAGCAATGTGCAATTGATTTTTTTTTTTAATGAGAGAGAAAATTAAAGCTATGATCAACCACAAAGAAGTATTCATCAGCCCTACAAAAATTTCAAGTTGCCAACTGACAAAGAAAGGCTAATACTGCACTTTGATTTTAAAAACTTGCTTTTTCCTTTGAAATATTAGGAATGGATTTACCTTACTGAGATTTATGGAAGCTATCAGAAATATGTTAGAAGACATTGAATCATCATGAAGTGAACTCTACTTCCAGCCAAACTACAAATGTTTACAGTTTTCTCTTTTGATTTCAACTCTACAACACATATTTTTAAGGAAAAATAACTAAAATGGATTATTGAGGTAGTTAATATTTGAACTGAATAGTTTTTTAGTTAACTCTAAGAAAAGATTTGTTGAAGGTTATAATTAAGGTATTTGGTGTTGAGCATAAGAGTATTCTTCCTTCAGCAAGCAACCATTTGAAAGCTTAGTTTGGAATTAGTGGAAATTGTTCCTTTGGTAACATAATATTTAAGATGTAAAGCTAGCTAATAAAATGTCTTAGTTTGAGCATAACAACAAAATGTGTTGTGGTTTCACTGATGTTTATGAGATTTCCAAGTGGGACTTGGGTTTTATGGGATCTTTTTCGCCTGTGAGTTTCCCGACTCTTTCATATGAATTCTTGCTTTTGATCCTAATAGAGCAAATTTAATCTCATCCATTTCTAGCCATAACTTTATTTTTCCCATTCTCACTTCCATAATTCCATGTATAGTGACTTCACCTTGTATAATAGATTATAAGTCCCCGATGAATAAGAATCATGTTTTTCTTTAAAGTTTGAGCAGACTCCAAGATATATTTAGTGAGCAAATATTTGTTGAGCTCCCTCCTGGGTACAATTGCTTTGGAATAGATTTTGTGAGCCTGGGACCCATCATATGATCTGATGGACCATATGATAGAATTTTTTTCTTTTTTACTGGGAAGTGATGTGATTTGTATATTGATGGCTTGCCATATTCAGTAGCATTTCTTCTTAATCGAAGAGTAAGTCTGTTAAGATGTACAGACCATAAATGCGCTGCTTGGTGGACCATCACAAGATGAGCATGTTTTTTAACTGAAAAATATATGTGTAGCTGTCACGAGAGTAAACTAAGGCAAGAAAGTGTTTTGTTTATACACTAAATCAGAAATTTAACAGATACATCTGACAGAATGGCGCAGCAGGTAAAGCATCCACCTGCAATGTAGGAGACACTGGAGACGTGGGTTCGATCCCTGGGTTGGAAAGATCCCCTAGAGAAGGAAATTTCTGCCCATTCCAGTATTCTTGCCTGAAAAACCCCATGGACAGAGGAACCTGGCAAGCTACAGTCCAAAGGGTCGTGAAGAGTCAGACACGACTGAGTGACTAAGCACATTATGGGTAGTCTGGTGGAAACCTAACTTTAAGTGAATTAAGCAAAACAGAAAGACTAGCAGTAGCCCCGGTTTTTCAGCAGTAGCCCTGGCTTTCAGCCCTGGCCTTGCTTGAGTCACAGAGTCATACAAAAACTTCTCTGTACTCTCCCTTTTCCAGTGTGGGTGTTACCCTCAGACTCCATACAGAACCCCTGTGGTTCCACATTTAGATCCTCAGACCCTGCATCAGGCACACAGACAGGCTAAAACATGTCTTTTCCAGAAGGCCTAAAAACATCTTAACCACTGACTGTAATTCTGTTTAATTTCTTTCCTTGGAGAGTCCTTTGGATATGGTGTAAATCTAACCCAAAGCACATAGCTGAGGATTGTGGAAGGGATGGAAGGAAATTCAGGATGCTATGAGGAAGGGGAAATGGGTTAGGGAGCGGAGCGGGGGGTGGGGGGGGGGTGGAGGGCAGGGATGCAAAAACAGACATCCGCTCTGTATCATATATAAGGGCATGATAGTATAGCATTAAGAATCTTAAGTAAAAATTTAGCATAAAACAAGTAATAGTAGCAGTAGTAGAAATGAGTTTATTTCTTCATTCAATTGTGATAGAGTGATCCTTTTATTTACATTATATGAATTGTTGAGGGGGTAGTGATAGGAGGACCCACTGTGAGAGGTTAGGGATAAGTGACAGGGCGTCCAGCAAGCATGCCCAAGCTTGATTTGGTCTGAAATCCTTCCCCTGAGACTTACCCACACAAAAGAGTATGTTCATTTTGGGTCATTTTGCTTCAGGTACTTCTTGTCTCTGCTGCTGCTTCCTATTTATGGTCACTGCATTTCTTCACACAAATGGCTTTGTCCTCTTATCTCAACTCTTCATGGGTCTCCATTGGATCAGTTGCCTGTTTGGTAACCTGGCTTGAAAAAATTTCAGATCCACAGTTTGACTTGATAGTGTTTTTCTACATGTTCATTCTTGAATTTTAGAAACTCAAATATTGGTTTAGAAAACAGCTTCTGGCCACAGTCCTTTTTTTCTCCTGTGAATACACAAACTGGTAATTTTAACTATTGCTAAAATGTAATCATTCACTCTGGAAAATTTGGAAAATACAGAAAAGTAGAAGGAAGAGTAAAATTCACCCATTGTAGTATTGCCTAAATGTTACTGCTGCTAATGTTTTCATGTGTTTCTTTTCTGTCTCTCATGCATACTTTTTTTGGAGTTGTGATCATTAGTGAGGATCTTTTCATTTTATAATGTAATCAAGATTTTTTTTATAGAACTATAGCTTTAAAAATTATTTAAAAATACAAAATTGCAAACATCAATGTATAGGAGTTAATCAAGATTATGCTCTTGTTCAGCTACTAAGTCATGTCTGATTCTTTGCAACCTCATGGACTGTAGCGTGCCAGGCTCCTCTCTTCTCCACTTTCTCCCAGAGTTTGCTCAAATTCATGTCCATTCAGTTGGTAAGGCTATCTAACTATCTCATCCTCTGCCACCCCCTTCTTCTGCCTTCAGTCTTGCCCAACATCAGGGTCTTTTCCAACGGGGAAGCTCTTGACATCAGGTGGCCAAAGCATTGGAGCTTCAGCAACAGTCAAGAGTTACAAAAAGCTTCTAGATAAGAAGACTCGATAAAAATTACTGGGTCACTGTTTTCCAGCTTCCCTCTAAAACATCCAGAGAACTCTGTAAATACAAAAACATTCCTTCTTTCCTCCCTAGTGTGTTTGCCATATTCCAGGCACAGAAGACAGCTCTGCAGCTTAGGTCTTTGTGGGGCTGACAGTTCAGCCAGGGGGTCTTGGTACTACAAACTGCAAGTGAGAATTAACCTTTGAAGGCGTTTAGGAGGAATGCATCCTGAATACAGCGCAGGAGGGACTAGGTGAAGAGGAGAGCCTCTTAACGTTGAAGTAAGTTTGTGCTTAACGTAAGAGAGCCTCTTGTGTTAAAGTAATCCAGCCTGGAAACCACAATCTCCGACCAGGTCACAATTTGTGGAGGGAGACAAGTCATGTTTTGCATTGGCAAAATCATCCAAGAGGGCAGCTTTTAGACACACGGCAGCAACTTAAGATCCCACCAACACTGAAAACCATCCTTTAGAACCCATCCACCTCCAGGAACCACAGCCACACCAGTGAGAATCTTAACAGTGGGGCCACAGCTGGCCCAAGTCAGCAGAACCACACCGACGTGAGGGACGGTCCAAGTGGCAAGACAAGGAGGCCACCAAGGACCCTCATTGAAGATACTTGAAGCCCTTCTTAGAGGGCTTAGGATCTTGCTGGCAGAGCTAAAGTAGAACGGATCAAGTAATTTACAACCTGGTTCTTTGAAATTCCAAAGGTATTCAAAACTTCTAAACGGAAAAAATATAGACTCACTAGGGATGAGATGAACCATATAACCATATGTGATAATAATTAATCAGAGCACTGTGGAACATTAGGTCCTGATCCCGTGTTCATCGCCCCTTTTCCAGGGAGCCCCTGGCCTCTGACCAGTGTAAGGAAAAGGAGTTACTAATAAAATGTGCTTTCATGGGACCTGTCTCTCTCCTTGGGATACTTCCAGGGTTCAATTGTATATTGATTTTATGATTACTGTTTTCTCCTTCCACTGAACTGTAAATTCCAAGAGGAAAGAGACCTGTTTTCCTTCTGATTCTGTTTCAGCAACAGGTGTGGTCCTTCATACGTGCAATTGTTGAATGAATGAAAGAATCCTGGTGGTAATGTTATCAATGATTCTCATTTCTTTGCATTGTATTGTCAGAGGATTACCAGCTTTTATTTCTATTATAATGCTGTGTGTGAAGGGGCTATTTTTTTATAGTGAAGGAAAAAGAAAATTTGTTAGAAGCAAACTTTAAAGCTGCTTTTGTCTGCCGTCTTGTCTGGTGAACCACAGCCCACATTGGATGTCTTTCCTGAACTGGGGTGACCCTCTTGAGCCTGGAAGAGTCAAGTGTGCTTGCAGTTCAGAAAGGTAATGAGCAATCAATGGGCTGCTGGGGATTCTAGGTCCCACGGTGGCCTGTGAGATGGTGTGGGTAACTGACGCATTAGTGCTTTCCAGTTCTGGGCTTGGGTATATTTCTGTTTAAAGAAGGTTCAAAAATAATGTTTAATATATAACAGACCTGCAGTTAAAATCTGCAGTAATTGAGCACATGCAGACAAAAACCTTTCAGGTGGATTGCAGGACCCAAAAGTTTTCTTTCAATAACTGGTCCACAATGTCTATAAGATGTAAGGAAATATTGATGAGTTGAGAAAAGGATCAGGACAGGTTAGAAGAGACTACATGAAGCCTAATTCATAATAGCAAAATTTAAATATTCAACAAAGGCTGTAAAATAGATATCAGTTGCAGGAAAATTGATAGTACAGAAGTTGTCCTAGAAAACCACTCCTAGAATGCAGATAAGTGAAAATAATGAACAGGAAAACCCAATATTGCACCACATTTTATTGAAAACATCACAAAAGAATTAGAACCAGATTAAACAAGCCTTGGGAACAATACAAAATTCTCCCAAAATCCATCTTCAAAGAGACAAAAAATTAGCCTTAGATTTTTCTACAACACTTAACTCTAAAATACAAAAGGACACAGAAGCTAAATACATAAAACTTAAAGGGACCGTAACCCACACATTGATTATTCAGCTATGACATTATTTATAGGTTCGGGTAAGAATCTCAAAATATGTCCTAGGAGGGGGTGAGGGATTGGGGAGGCAGGATTTAAAATGCTGAGATCATAAAAAGGTAGCTCCCAACTTAGATTGGGGATATTATGGTAGATAATTCCTTAGCAAGCGTGTGTTGATGCCCATCATTTATGGATGTCATCAAAGGCCACAGGACACAGCTATAGTCAAAAGTATTTTTTTGACCCTTGTCACAGTCAGAGACCACATGCTGTGGAGTCTAGGTACTTCACAATAAGAAGGTGTAAAGAATTGAGCACATGTAGGGAATTAGGAGGGAGGGCTCAAGTGAACAATGGTTTCTTCTGGATTGGGCACTGTCAGAAAGTGGGGAGTAATTCTGCAGTTGATCAACTTTCATCTAGGAAGTAGAAGAAAGTGAAAGTGAAGTCTCTTAGTCGTGTCTGACTCTTTGTGACCCCATGGACTGTAACCTATCAGGCTACTCTGACCATGGGATTTTCCAGGCAAGAATGCTGGAGTAGGTTGCCATTTCCTTCTCCAGGGGATCTTCCTGACCCAGGGATCGAACCTGAGTCTCCTGCACCGCAGGCAGATGCTTTACCATCTGAGCCACCTAAAGCGGTAGCAGTCATCCATGTTAGCCACAAGAGGGCGATGTTAATCTGCTCAGGCGTGTCCCAGTGTTAACTCACTTCAGCAGGAGCGCAGAATAACCTTGTCTGATGTCAGAGATTTAAGTATCATCAGTGTCCAATAGGAGAAAACCATGGCCCAGCTGTGAGTGCCAGGTCAGCTTTTAGCTTTCAGAAGATCCCATTTCTCTTATATTGAAACCACTGAAATTAATAGTGAAATAAATATGGTAACACTATTTACAAAAGCCAAGACATAGAAACAAGCTAAATGCCCATCGACTGATGAATGAGTAAAGTTATGCATACATGATGGAATATCACTCCACCATAGAAAAGAATGAAATAATGTCCTTTGCAGCAATATTAATGGGCCTAGAGATGGTCATACTGAGTGAAGTATTAAATAAGACAGTGAAAGACAAATATATAATACCACTTATATGTGAAATCTAAAAAAGTGATACAAGTGAATTTATTTACAAACAGACTCACAAAACAAACTTTATGATTACCAAAGGGGAAGGGGGGCAGGGGATGAATTAGAAATTAACAGATACACCCCTCAGTTCAGTTGCTCAGTTGTGCCTGACTCTTTGCGACCCCATGAACCGCAGCATGCCAGGCCTCCCTGTCCATCACCAACTCCTGGAGTCCACCCAAACCCATGTCCATTGAGTTGGCCATCCAACCATCTCATCCTCTGTCGTCCTCTTCTCCCACCTTCAATCTTTCCCAGCATCAGGGTCTTTTCCAATGAGTCAGCTCTTCATATCAGGTGGCCAAAGTATTGGAGTTTCAGCTTCAACATAAGTCCTTCCAGTGAATGTTCAGGACTGATTTCCTTTAGGATGGACTGGTTGGATCTTGCAGTCCAAGGGACTCCCAAGAGTCTTCTCCAACATCACATTTCAAAAGCATCAATTCTTCAGTGCTCAGCTTTCTTTATAGTCCAACTCTCATATCCACATATGACTACTGGAAAAACCATAGCCTTACTAGCCAGACCTTTGTTGGCAAAGTAGTGTCTCTGCTTTTTAATATGCTGTCTAGGTTGGTCATAACTTTTCTTCCAAGGAGTAAGCGTCTTTTAAATTCATGGCTGCAGTCACCATCTACTGTGATTTTGGAGCCCCAAAAAATAAAGTCAGCCACTGTTTCCACTGTTTTCCCATCTATTTGCCTGAAGTGATGGGATCGGATGCCATGATCTTAGTTTTCTGAATGTTGAGCTTTAAGCCAACTTTTTCCACTGTCCTCTTTCACTTTCATCAAGAGGCTCTTTAGTTCTTCTTCATTTTCTGCCATAAGGGTGGAGTCTGAGATTATTGATATGTCTCCCGGCAATCTTGATTCCAGTTTCTGCTTCATCCAGCCCAGCGTTTCTTATGATGTACTCTGCATATAAGTTAAATAAGCAGGGTGACAACATACAGCCTTGACATACTCCTTTTCCTATTTGGAACCAATCTGTTGTTCCATGTCTAGTTCTAACTGTTGCTTCCTGACTTGCATACAGATTTCTCAAGAGGCAGGTCAGGTGATCTGGTATTCCCATCTCTTTCAGAATTTTCCAAAGATTATTGTGATCAAAGGCTTTGGCATAGTCAATAAAGCAGAAATAGATGTTTTTCTGGACCTCTTGCTTTTTCAATGATCCAGCGGATGTTGGCAATTTGATCATAATAGGCTTCCCACGTGGCACTAGTGGTAAAGAACCTCCCTGAAAATGCAGGAGATGCAAGAGATGCGAGAGATGCAGGTTCCATCCCTGGATTGGGAAGATCCCCTGGAGGAGGGCATGGCAACCCACTCCAGTATTCTTGCCTGGAGAATCCCATATACAAGAGGGGTGGTCCATGGTCCACAGGGTCGCAAAGAGTCAGAACCAACTGAAGATACTTAGCAGCATATATAAAATAGATAAGCAGCGAGGTCATACTGTGTAGCACAGGGAAGTCTGTTCAGTATCTTATAATAATCTACGAGGGGGAAGAACCTTAAAAAGAGTACACATCCGAAAATAACATAGCGTTGTAAATCAAGATAAGAAGAAACTGTTTTGGGGCTCCCCTGGTACTACAGTTGAGTAAGAATCTGCCTGCCAACGCAGGGGACAGGGGCTGGATCCCTGGTCGCGGAAGATTCCACTCGTCGTGGGGGAACTAAGGCTGTGAGCGGCAGCTGCTGTAGCATGTGTGCCTGGAGCCTGCGCTCCACAGTAAGAGAAGGCAGTGATGCCAGAAGCCAATGCGCCGCAACTGGAGAAAGCCTGCATGCAGAAACAAGGACCCAGTGCAACCAAAAATCAAATAAATAAGAAAACCGCCATATTAAAAAAGCAAAAAAGAAACTGTTCTCCAGTCGGCTTGGCAACATAACTCCTCTTAGTGTCTCACATTCCCTGCCTAACAGTGACATGTAGCATCTTTTCACGCCCTCATTAGCCTGCTCTGTTCCCCTTGCTGTGAACTGCTTTTTCCTTTCCTTTGCTTGGGGCTGCTCTAGTGGCTCAGAAGGTGAAGGATCTGCCTGAAATGCAGGACACCTGGGTTTGATCCCTGGGTCAAGAAGATCCCCTGGAGAAGGAAATGGCAACCCAGTCCAGTATTCTTGCCTAGAGGATTCCATGGACAGAGGAGCCTGGCAGGCTACAGTCCACAGGGTCATGAGGATTTGGACACGACTGAGAGACTTAACACTTTCACACTCTCCTTTGCTTATCTTTTCTATGGGGTTGTTCATTTCTCTTACCTATTTGCAGAAATTCTTACATCATGGATATGGATCCTGGTTGTGTCATACACGTCATACATAGTTTTGGCCGATGTCATCATCTTCATAGCACGTCTGGGAAGCATCTTCATAGCACGTCTGGGAAGATGTCACTGCAGCGACCACCCTGTTTTCACGATGGACAGTGTAGTGACAAGACAGTCAAGGGAGAAGATGGCGGGTGATGGAAAGAGAGCCTGCCCTCAACCGCCTCTGCTGGTGAAGGCAGTGACGGGCGTACTGAGGAAAACGCAGGCAGCTTGGAGACAAAATGACTGTTTACCCTTACCAACCATGCCATTTTGGACTTCTCCGAAGCTGGCTTTTCTACAAAAGAGAGGAAATTTGCTTTCTATAGGTTGTTGTGTGGAACAAATGAGTCAACTCATGTAAACGGCCTGCCTCAGGGCCTGGCACCCAATAACATCATACAGACAGATGCCTTTTGGCCATTTTGAAGGATCGTGAACCCATAGCTGATGCTACTTTAATATATTTTTATTATCCATTTGTCATAATGTCCTGGTCAGCTGTGACATATTCGGGAACTCTTCATTCAAATCTCGGAGACGGAAATGCTCCCAGACGGTAAGGTCGCCGCCCCCTTTCAGTGATTGGCAGATGAGGGCCTGGGGCCGGAAGTGAGGAGGAGACCAAGTCAGGAGTCAGGGAGTCCGGGGCGGTAACCTCACCCGGCAAAGCCGAGGGGAAGGGCAGGCGAATCCTTCAGCATGGCTGCAAGAGGGGGCCTTTTGATGCTGGAAAACTTCATAGGTGGAACATTTTTACCTTGTAGCTCATACCTAGATTCCTATGATCCCTCCACAGGGGAAGTGTACTGCCACGTGCCAAACAGTGGGGAAGAAGAGGTGAGTACGTTCAGTTGGAGGAGACTGAAATCTGCTTAGCCTGGCAGTGACCTATGGTACTGAATTTTCACGGAGCAAAGGCGACTGCTAAATGTTAGCCGAAGGAAGATTTTTAGTTCTAAGAAGGTTTATTTTGTAGCTGGGTATATATGATGGGTGGAACAGATCATATGCAGAAGTGACTAATAATCTAGATAACCTCACACAGAGCCACAACTCTCAGACATTCCAAAGTGGCTGCTAGTAAAAAGTAGTATTTGTAAGAATTATCATATTACTAAGTGTTCCCTTTCTCGATCAAGTTTGCCTGAATTTGCCACTATATTCATGGATTTCCAGGAAACGTGTTACTTCACTAAAATAAAAAAATTTTTAAACCCAGGGATTTATTTCTGCTTATCCTCTAGTAATTCTTCATATCTTCAAATTATCTAATAAAGTAAAAACCAATCATTTGAATGATGAAATGCAGAATCAAATTCCTACATATTTTTGGAGTTAAATTTAACATTACTTTTTCTTACTCAAAGGAAACACACACGTTAAAACCTTTTTCAGTGATGTAGAATTAATATTATTCAAGAGTTTTGTAAGATATTTAAGATCTATTTGATTAGTATCTCATTGCACTGAGAAAATAAATATATTTGAGGTGATAAATGTGGCTGATGAATGTATACTCATCTAAAGCCTAATAGATTTTAATTTATTTTGTAAAGCACAAAGAAATAGATTATTTAAAAGATAAATGTAGTCTTTATATATATTAACAAATAAGTAGTATATGCAAGGCATTTTTAAAAAAAAGGGTTAAGGTATTTTTTTTTCTATTGTTAATAATATTGTAAATCTGTCTTGTATTAAAAAAACCTTTAGACTTCTGGATTAAAGTTTGCAAATATTGACTAGTTTGTTGGTTAAACTGTAACCCACAGTTTTATCTGTTTCAAAATGACCTGGGATTACATGGGGAAAATCCAGCTTTGTGTTTGCCAGGCCTCTCTGTCTGAGTCCTTTCTGAAATAAAGTTAAAAATGACAAGTACATCAAATTCAGCTGAAATCTTTTCTGCAGCTAATGACTCAGCCCTTTCAGATGAGAGAGAGAGGGATCAGTACACTGGCCAGTAGAGGAATGTATATTTTGGATTTCCCAGTAATCTAGCTTGCAAACATTGCATCTGATGACACAAATCTCATGTTTTTCTGGCTTGAAGAATGTGGTTGTCGTGCAAGCTACAAGCCCAGTGTCCCCCAAAAGTCACTCACAGAAACTGCTGCGGTGCTGCCAACAGGCTCATGCTCTTTCAGCATTTGCCTTGTGCTGTGCGTTCACTAAGCCGTGGAACAAAAATTGTCCCAAATCAGCATGGTAACACCTATAAATGAGACTCTATCATCATCCTTATTTTATGGATGACAACGTGCTTGTATCAGTGATCACACATACACACACACAGGCACCCACTTTGAGAGCATTTGCACTGTAGTCTTGCATTCATAAGCACAGATTGGGTTCGACTGCCTGGCTTCAAAGATCCACCACACCACTTACTATGTATGGTGGAACATACATAGTGGAACTCAGAGCTGAGCCTCCCTGTGCCTCAGTCTCTTTATCTATAAAATGGGGATCATAATAACATCTTCAGTGTTGTTCTGGAGATTAAACAGACAGACATATGTGGAGCCCTTTGTGTCTAGCATCGGTAAAAGCTTTCCAAGTATTAGCTTTCGCTGTTATTATTGTATATAGTGGATCAACACATGTTCTGTATTAAATAGACATAGGACATGTGACCGAAGACAACTTAGAAAATATGACTGGACTTGAATTTTCTGCTTTTCAAAAAGATCAGAGTTTTACATGGACAATTGGAGGAAGACTAGATTTGACATTCAGTCTCCTCTTGTTGGCTGGCAGTAGGGTGTCCCTGAGGCTACAGCTTCTGGTGGAGATTTGAGATTTGGTTTTTGAGGTGAAACCATCCAATTCCCAGAAACTTATAATTAAGATGAGAATCATTTTTTATACCTTTAGCTTATCTGAAAGTGACCTTGTTTACATAAAGAAAACAGGAAGGCATGTAGATCAGATTTGGAGTGAGAGGGCAACTGAATTGTCCCTCTGATTGTTGTCTGAATCAGAACTATATTCTCAGAACTGTCATCTTCTGCGACACAGTCAGACAAAGTAGCTGTCTAAAATTCACTAAAAAGTTTTTCTTCACTCCGAATTTCACAATGCGTCATTTCTGAAAATTTCACAGAAATAAACTTGCCTTTATAACATACACAGGATTGGAACAAAAACCCAGGGAAGCAAAATGTGAGTGATAACGACAGTCACAAGTTGTATAATGATGCCTCAGTCAATTTTAAGAGAGGAGAAAGGCAGCAGTGGTTTGGCTGCTCAGTCGTGTCCAACTCTTGTGACCCCATGGACTGCAGCCTGCCAGGCTCCTCTGTCCATGGGATTCTCCAGGCAAGAATACTGGAGTGGGTGGCCATTTCCTTCTCCAGGGGATCTTCAAGACCCAGGGATCGAACTCAGATCTTTTGCATTGTAAGTGGCCTCCTGCATTGCAGGTGGACTCTTCACTGACTGAACCACCAGGGGAGCCCTGGAGGGGCAGAAGATGCCCTGATAATTTATTCCACCTGCAAGAACTGGCCTTGCTCATATCTTCCCATTCATTGTTTGCTTTGGATTTAACTCTAAAACCCAGTCCTCAAGCCATCTGTTCAAATTCTTCTCCAACAGAAGACCCTTCCACTGGGTGGAGCCAGGCAGAGGCTGGGACTGTGGTTATGCCACAGTTATGCTAGCAGGCCAGCTGTGGTCTTGGGAACTACAAAGACCTGGGTTTACATCCTGATTCTGCCACTTATGAGCTGTGTGACCTCTGGCAAGTTACTTGAGCTCTCTGTGCTTCAGTTTGTTCATCTGTAAAATGGGCTTAACAATACTCATGTTACAGAACTTCAAAAGGGGTTTAATGAAATAATTTGTGCAAAGTGTTTAGCACCTTCCTTTATATATAAAAAATAGTCAATATGTAACTAATATGGCTAGTCATTCCAAGTCAGAATGACAGTCTGGGATGTGATTTCAAACTTTTAGACTTTATCAAGTATGTCAAAACTTCTTTAGGAGCTTAGAGATTCAGTACACCCTTAAGTTTCCTCTCTCATATGATATTCAAAAACTTCTGTATTTTGAAATTACTGAAAATGTATACCAGCTATTGAAATAGCTTCTTTCAATTATCACCACATTCTGGATAACTGGATTGAAATGGAGGATTTGGGGCTTTTTTATGGTGCCCTGCTTTGCTGGTTAAGTAGACAACACTTCATGGGCAACTCAGCACTGCAGAGTGTCAAATATTTGGAAGTAGGCAGAAAAAAAGTGAGATATATACAGACCTGGGTTCTGGACTCATCCAGCCCTCGAGTGGTTGTTCAGTTGCTCAGTCGTGTCCGGCTATTTGCAACCCCATGGACTGCAGCACACCAGGCTTCCCTGTCCTTCACCATCTCCTGGAGCTTGCTCAAACTCATGGCCATTGAGTCGGTAATGCATCCAACCATCTCCTTCTCTGTCATCCCCTTCTTCTCCTGCCCTCAATCTTTCCCAGTATCAGGAGGATCTTTTCTAATGAATCAGCTCTTCACATCAGGTGGCCAAAGCATTGGAGCTTCAACATCAGTCCTTCCAATGAATATTCAGGATTGATTTCCTTTAGGATTGACTGGTTTGATCTCCTTGCTGTCCAGGGGACTCTTAAGAGTCTTCTCCAGCACCACAATTTGAAAGCATCAATTCTTTGGTGCTCAGCCTTCTTTAGGATCCAACTCTCACATCTGTACGTGACTACTGGAAGCTCTTAGCTTCTGCTCCTCGAGAGCAACAGGGTAAGGTGACCTCTTCTGTTTGCTCCTGCAAGGTCGAAGCCGCGGTGGAGGCTGCCAGAGCAGCTTTTCCGGGCTGGTCCTCCCGGAGCCCCCAGGAGCGCTCACAGGTGCTGCAGCGGCTGGCCGACTTGCTGGAACAGTCCCTGGAGGAGCTGGCCCAGGCCGAGTGCAAGGACCAAGGTGAGGGGGGTCTGTGCTGGCCTCTTCCCTCTCTCTCCCGCCCGCTCTCTGGTGGAGCCAGGATGAGTGCCCCGTCCTGTATGGAAATGCGCTTCGTCAGATGCTGCCCGTTCACACCCTCCTTCCAAGTTGTCAGGGGATCTCTTGCCTCTTACCCGTATGAATGGAACTTGGGACTCTTTCTTCTCGTGCCCCCTTGTGGGCCCAGCAGGCCCGCCCACCCTGTGCTTCTCATGGCCGTGGTAGAGCTTGGAAAGCCTGACCAGCCGAGGCCTCTGAAGGCTGAGGCTTGCAACTGGCCCACTTCTGCCTCCTTCTGATGGTCAGAGCAAGTCAAGGCTGAACCCAAGTTCCAGAGGCAGGGAAATAAACACACTGTTGGTGGAAGGACCTGCGGATTTGGGGAGAGGGGTAGAACGTGAAGGCTGAGAGTGCAGCCCTCCACCAGTTCTAAATAGAGAGTTTCAAACCAAAAAAAAAATTTTGTCTCTTCTTTTTTTTTTACCGCATTATTCATTTGTTTCTTTATTATATTTTTAAATTGAAGTATAGTTGCACTGCTGCATTTAAAATGGAAACCAACAAGGACCTATGGTATAGCATAGGGAACTCTGCTCAATGTTATGTTCAGCCTGGATGAGAGGGGAGTTTGGAGGAGAATGGATACATGTGTATGTAGGGGCTGAATGGCTCTGCTGTGCGCCTGAAATTATCACATCATCATCAGTCGGCTTTACTCCAGTGTAAAATAGAAAGTCAAAAGCAAACAAAACAAACAAAATTGAAGTACAGTTGATTTAAAACTTTGTGTTGGTTTCAGGGGTACAACACAGTGTTTCAGTTATACCCGTCTATACACATTCATGTAAATGTGTGACTGCGCTACAGATTGTCGTGTGTGTGTGTGTGTTGGTTGCTCAGTCATGTCTGACTCTTTGCAACCCCATGGACTATAGCCTGCTATGCTCCTCTGTCCATGAAATTCTCCAGGCAAGAATACTGGAGTAGGTTGCCATGCCCTCCTCCCGAACCAGGGGATCTTCCCGAACCAGGGACGGAACCCATTGCAGGCAGACTCTACCCCCTGAGCCACCAGGGAAGCATATGTGTGTGTGTGTGTGTCTGTGTGTGTGTGTGTCTGTTTCTGTGTGTGTGTGTGTATCTGTGTGTGTGTGTCTGTGTGTCTGTGTGTGTGTCTGTGTGTGTCTGTGTGTCTGTCTGTGTGTGTCTGTGTGTGTCTGTGTGTGTGTGTGTGTCTGTGTGTGTCTGTGTGTGTCTGTGTGTGTGTGTATTAGTTGTTCAGCTGCTCAGTCATGTCTGACTCCTTGCGACCCCATGAACTGCAGCATGCTAGGCTTCCCTGTCCTTCACCATCTGCTGGAGCTTGCTCACAACTCGTGTCCATTGAGTCGGTGATGCCGTCCAACCATCTCCTCTGTGTTCTCCTCCTCCTCCTGCCGTTAATCTTTCCCAGCATCAGGGTCTTTTCTCAATAGTCGACTCTTCGCATCCAGGTGGCAAGAGTACTGGAGCTTCAGCTTCAACATCAGTTCTTCCAGTGAATATTCAGCACTGATTTCCTTTTGGATTGACTGGTTTGATTCCTTGCAGACCAAGGGACTCTCAAGAGTCTCTCTCTGTGTGTGTGTATATATATATTCTTTTTCAGATTCTTTCCATTTATAGGTTATTATAAGATATTGAGTATAGTCCCCTGTGCCCTACAGGAGGTCTTTGTTGGTGATCTCTTTTATATATAGTAGTGTGTATATGTTATCCAAGCTCCTAATTTATCTCTTTCCCCTCCTTTTCCCTTTGGTAACCCAAGTTTGTTTCCTAAAAGCAAAGATAATTTGAAGGACACACCGTCAAGTAATGCAGAAAGATTTCCAACATGTCAGTCACTGTTCCACTCCCAACACAATTTCCCAATTTTTAAAACTGCTTCCCAGAAGTCATCTTAATGGGGTAAACGTCTGTAAATCTTTGTAAAGATATGTTAGTATATACATGTATGTATATATATGTATATGTATGCCGATGCTAAGTTGCTTCAGTTGTGTTCGACTTTGCAACCCTATAGACCATAGCCCACCGGATTCCTCCGTCCATGGGATTCTCCAGGCATGAATACTGGAGTAGGTTGCCACGCCCTCCTCCAGGGGATCTTCCCAATCCAGGGATCGAACCTGTGTCTCTTAAAGTCTCCTGCATTGGCAGGCAGGTTCTTTACCACTAGTGCCACCTGGGAAGCCCTACATGTATGTATGTACGTATGTATATATGTATATGTGTGCTATAAAGTGGCCTAAAGTTAGAAAGCAGCTTGACTCCAAACCCCTAAGTAGAAAATGCTTCCTGACATGGCAGAGTCTCCTAGCATCACTAAAGATAACTAAGGGACTAGTTATCTAGGAAGTGCGTGGGGCCTGTGATGGTGAGCAAGGGCCACACAGCATCCTCTGGTGGTACCCATCAGCGTTCTGCCACATGTTCATCTTAATGGCTCCACTGTGTGCTGAGGAGTTAATTAATATCATCACATGTTTCTTGGTGATGTGCAAACACAGCTCTCTTAACACCCACTATTCCAACCCCTCTGCAGCATGTCCAAAGCTTGGTGATTCTGAATTGAAAGAGCTGGATCGGGTGAAGTGGTAACATCTGGAATGATGATAGCTATGAATCGTTCAGTCTAATAAGCAAAGATTATTTGACTCAATTCTAACCATTTCTACTTCATCTTATAATCTTACATCTAATTATTTCTTAGTCTTATTAAACCATGATCAACACTCTCTGTCACCAAGCAATGCCCATCCCAGGCTGGAAGGAACAGAAGCTGCTTCAGAGGGAGCTGGGATATGTGTGCGGGACTGTCCCCTCCAGGCTCGAGGTGAAGTGCACTGACAGAGCCTTCTGCTGTTGACGTCTTACAGGGAAAACCATAACCCTGGCGAGAACCATGGACATTCCCCGGGCTGTGCATAACTTCCGGTTCTTCGCTTCCTCCATCCTGCACCACACGTCTGAATGCACGCAGATGGACCACTTGGGCTGTCTGCATTACACAGTGCGGGCCCCTGTGGGCATCGGTAGGTGCTGTGCAATGACAGTCGGGCCGCAGTGGCACGTAGAGATGCTGGGTCAGCACTGCAGAAGTGACCTAAGGGGACAGGCTTTAAAAAAGAAACTTCTGCTTTATCTGAAATTTAATTGACGACCTTAAAAATCTAAATCTAGTTTGTTTGTGTCAAATTCCCTACTTATCCCTACATTGTTCCTGAGGAATCACAGGGAAAGGAGTGACACTGAGAATAAATTCATGAACCAAGACTTTTTGTTCCTTGTAATTAAAAAAAAAATACTTTCAGGAAAGTAGTGCAGTTAAAATCATAGTGGGGTAAGTGTCACTTTTGTGTGCTTCAGTATTGTTATCTGGAAACAGGGAGAATAGTTTAATTTTGTCTATATATGTTGTATGTGAATTATATAAGTTAATAGATGTAGAGCACTTAGAACAGTGCCTGGTACTGTGATAAATAAGCCTTGACTATTATCTCTTATTTCTGTGGTTCCTGCACTTCAGAAATATAGGCAATGACTCAACATGTCCACTAGATGTCACTGTTTCCTGTGAGAAAAAACCATCAACTGTCCATATTTTACTAGTTCCATTTTATGATAGGATAAAAGAAGATAAGTTAAAGAAAATAAAATGGGACATTTTGCCACTTTGATTATCTGAACGCTTTGGAAATAACATTTTCAAGGCAGTATAACAAAACTTTAGTATCCTTCTAAGAAGTATACTAATACATTATGCTGCAAAAATATTCTCTTACTCCCTGAAGAGCAGATTTTTTCAGTGGGAAATTTAATAATATATAAACCATGTTTACTTCCATAGCTCAGGTTTGAGGGTAGAGTATAAAATAAAATGACTCCATTTCTTTATTCATAATGTGGGTTTTATTTTTATGCGTTTTGTGGTCGGAAGTCTGGATGGCTTCAGAATATTACATGAAGACACATTCTAAATGTTATAGATGTTACTTAGCCAGCAAACCTATCTGGTTAGGATACAGGTGAGAACCTAGAGATTATTTATTTATTAAAAAATTCCCTGGGTTAGCTAAAATGGATTTCATATCTCAGGACTTATTTGCTCTTATTTATTACAAATAATTGTGAACAATTTAAGATCTTATGTCTCAATCCACAACCAATTAGAAAAACAGGTGGAAAAATTTAGAAGAAATAGTGCCTTTAAATATCTTTAAATAGACCATTTAAAGATAAAAAAAGATTGTTGAGACAGTGCAAAGATCAGCCTACAAACCTCAAAACTGATCACATTCTGAGACTGTTTGGGGAGAGGTGACAGTATTTTAGCCCTGGTACTTATATTGTTGTTGTTCATAAATATGATTGAGAGTCATCAAGAAAAGAGTAAGCTGTATTGATTATAGTTTTAAAGGTATGGCTGCCTGTAATATATTTTAGACTTATTTCTCTGAAATTCTATAGAAATTCTACAAAAGACTGGAGATTCTTTTGTGGAATTTTTTGAAGCATTGAAATTCTACACACGATTGGGATTTCGGAAGAGCAAGCTGACATTTGGTGTAGCACGAAGGAGTTTTCATTAGTAAAGCGTGTCTGGCCCATCTCTGAAGGGTATGTCATTGCTGGCGATGCTTCTCTTCTCCTCTGTTAGCGGCTCTGATCAGTCCCTGGAATCTGCCCCTCTATCTGCTGACCTGGAAGATCGCTCCAGCTATCGCGGCTGGCAACACAGTGATAGCTAAGCCCAGCGAGCTGACTTCCGTGACCGCGTGGATGATGTGCAGACTCCTGGAGAAAGCAGGTAATCAGCGTTAGGGTGTGAGAGGAGAGGCACATGATTGGCTTTGGAGATGAACGTTTTGTAGGCTTCAGCCACTGTAGGGTTACTGACATTTTTAAAATAATGAAAAAAAAATTTTATGGGAGTATAGTCACTTTGCAATGTCATGGTTTCACTGTACGGAAAAGTGAATCAGATACACGTGTACATAGTCAAAGGAAAGCCGCTCAACCGTGCCCGACTGTGTGTGACCCCGTGGACTGCAGCCCACCAGGCTCCTCCGTCCATGGGATTTTCCAGGCAAGAGCACTGGAGTGGGTTGCCACATCCTTCTCCAGAGGATCTTCCCGACCCAGGGATCGACCCCAAGTCTCCTGCATTGTAGGCAGATGCTTTATCCTCTGAGCCATCAGGGAAGCCTTATACATACACACCCACACGTCTCCTGCGTTTTAGAGTTGCTTCCCGTTTAGGTCACCACAGGGCTGAGTAGACTCCTTGTGTTGTATAGCAGGTTCTCAGTATATCTGTTTTATACATAGTGGTGTTTCCATTGGAGAGGGAAATGGCAACACTTTCCAATATTTGTACCTGGAGAAGCCTCATGGACCGAGGAGCCTGGCAGGCTTCAGTCCACGGGGTCCCAAAGAGTCAGACGTGGTGACTGAGGGTGTGTAGTCAGTCCCAATCTCCTAATTCACCCCACCCTCCCATTCCCTCCTGGGTCCATACATTGGTTCTCTATGTCTGGGGCTACGGACATCTGAAAAGTTGTTCTGAACAGAAATCTGCTCGGTAGATCCCAGGGACATCTTTGGTTATTCGTCTTCCTTAACCTCTTCTGAGAAGTGAAATCCCCTCTTCTGAGCGGATCCACGGGCTTTGGCTCCGGCCGCTGCCTTTATCCTTGCCCAGACGGCGCCGCTGTGGGACAGCGCTCCCTGCGGGGCTCCACGGAAGGAGCGCAGGACAGCGGCTTGGCGGCTGGCTACGGGAGCCTGACCGAATCCGCCCCCAGCCTGCCCCAGACAGTGTCTCCAGTCATCACTTTAAATCCTGCCTTGGCACCACGAGTGGATCTTGATGAAAAGGAAATATTGCTAGATACCACTCTGATTTGCGTAGGTACAGAATGCCTGGGAGAAGCAGCCCGTTTTCAAGAGAGTCGAATAGACACCCCCTCGTTTTCCCTGCGTTGGGACCCACTACCTCGCGGACAATGATGCGCTATGGCTCCTGTCTTTCTCTTGCTGATGGTTTAATGGCCACGTGCGTTCCTGGCTTCATTCTGGAGTGTGGAGCCGACACCGGGCCAGGGTTGGAAGGTCACAGGCAGGAGACTCTAGCCTGTAACCCACGAGGAAGCCCCTCACTGCGAGGCCCTGAGCTCATGTCTACGGGCTGGAATGACCTGCAGCTGGTGGGGGGGAGCAGGCCTTCTCTTGGGCCCTGCTGTGCCCGCTTCCTTCCAGCCCCCAGAGAAGATGCTTACCCGCTCACTCACGTCCATAGAGGGGGCAGGTTGCTAAAAGCCTGTCTCTCTGTCCTGAACACCTTTGCTCTCAAAGCAAAAACATACGTGTTGGCTTCCAGGATAACTGAGCCAGTTCCTTACTCCAGGGTATAGATGACAGCTTAGATGGTGCCTCTTTAGGGAAACTCATGGGGCCTCCTATCCTATGAAGGAAAGAGGCTGCCCAGCCAAGATCTCTGGGTTGACGTCAGTGGCTGCTCTGGACCTTTGGAAACATCCTTACTAAACTGGTAAGGATGAAGTGGACACCCTTACCTTCTTTGCGTCCCAGAATGTGTCATGCTTTCCTTACAAAGGTGACCTTGTTCTATCCCTTGAGTCTCTAGTATCTACAAAGGTCCAAGGGGTTTCTTCCCTGTATCTTGCCACTGGTTCCTTGATGTGAGACAGAAGCGGGGCCTCTGGTCTGCTGCATCCAGTGTTGGGAGGATGCTGAGGAGGTGGGGAGGGACCACAGAGCTGCATCCCGGAGGCTTCTCTGTCCTAAAATCAGCTACGTCTTGATCTGTGAGGATCGCTCTTGTCTGACCACCCTCCCCTTTCAAATAACCCAGAACCCAGGCTGCATGACGGTTTAATGTTTCCATTTATTTGCACAGCATTGCACTCATTCCTATGGGTGAATAAACCTGTTATACCAAGATGCTCCTTCCCTCCCTCCCCCACTGGGCTGGCTTTTGCCCAACTCTCCTCCTCCAGCCAACACTGAGAGTGTGATGATCCAGTCACACCTGACGTGAGCCCTCAGTTTCTCCACTGGGATAGGGTGTCAACCTCATCTACTTAATTCTGCTTAGAGCACTCTAAGAGAAACTTCTAGCTGTGTAAGAAAGCTAAAACCACCTGCTAATGCAGTCTGGATATTGCAAGATCTAGCTCCTCTAGTCCTGAGTGTTCAAACAGACTTGGAAGATGAACTTCCTTTGAAATAAAAAATCATTTAAGATGTTTTGAAGTACACCACGAATACCTCTTTGCACGTCTTAGAATATTTGTTTTTATCTTGGGTGCACCAAATGTCTGCCCTCATTCTCGAAGTGGCCACTGGTGGTAGATTTCTGGCCCTTCCTGTTAATTTTTGTTCTGCTCTATTTAAGCTTAAAATTTTCCTTGTCACCATCCAGCCATATCCTGGCACTGGCAGGCCTCCCTTTGCTTTGCTGTCTCTTAGCCACCTACTCTGAGTTTTGGTGAATTGTTATTTGCCAATTAAACTGTCTTCCCTGTCTTATAACCAGAATCTCTTAAGGGTAAAAGGTGAATGTCTCTAGAAAAATTTCATTAATATCTGGATCAAATGGCAAAATGGTTTTGAGAAATACAAGCCACTAGATACCTAACTCAATTTATTAACATTGGAGTTCAGGGAAATGTAATCAAAATGTAAATTCTGTGGTGTAGAAGGCACTCTGCCTGCTGAAATGAGCTCATTTTCCTGTGATGATAAATACGTGGTATTTCTATGTTTTCTCTCACCCTTTTAAAAAATGCTAAAATAAGCATTAGAAGTGATTTGAGCCATTTTTTTGCCTTCAGGATTCATAAAGGCCAACAGTCCACATTCTCTGGCTCTCAACTGTCCATTTGAATACCAGGCAAATATCCACAAGCTTGATAGCAGTGGAGATGCAGGACTCACGAGGACGTGAATGATGGGAAACTTTGTCCCTGTTTCCCCATCATCAGCTGGCAGGACCTCCCCCTCACACCTCCTCTTTGGCCCAAGCCATGGCCCAGCTGTTCTCATATGGTGTTTATGATCCAGGATGCACTTGAGCTGGATTTCAAACAAGTGTGCAGGCTGAATGCAGAGGTGGGGCCATCAGAGGGAGACTCTGCCAGACCGCTGCCTCCTTGGGGGCTCACCTGGATAGGGCCTCGAGGTGGTACCGTGAAGGCTGCGCTCTGAGGGAAGGGCTTCTCGGTGATCCTGGATCATCAGTGAGGACTTATCTTGTGTACCTTAAGAGCATATTCTTGAAGAGGTAATTTTAATCCAAGAGAGTATGTCTAAATGGGAGCAAGGGAACAATGAGAGGAGCGAGAGAGCAGTTAGCTTACTAAAGAGCATTTCTGCATCTCCTGTTGTTCAAACCTGCAAACACAGGGAATATACTCAGCTACCTCCAGGCAAACCCTAAGAGATTCCTGGACGCAATCGATGGCACATAGATTTTTTTTTTCTGAACACTTAAATCTTCCCAAAGTCAGGAACCTTTTCTGAATTGGATATGGTGCACATCCATGCATTCATTGACTTAACAGTTACTTACTAACCAACACCTAGTTTTGCCTTCTATTGGTTGTTATTTAACCCCGGGATTAAACCTGAGTCTCTTATGACTCCTGCATTGGCAGGTGGGTTCTCTACCACTAGCACCACCTGGGAAGCTCTTATTTAACCTCACTTTGCCTCAGTAGTCTCATGGGTGATGTGAGGATATTAATATGATGTACCTCACAGAGCTATTGGGAGATCTAAAGGGTGTAACCCACTTATAGTTACAGTTGATTCACAGTGAGCACCCAATAAATGTGAGCATTTACTGGTATCATCTCTTTACATTTTTATTTTTATTATTGCTAAAATTATTTTAATAACATATATATGTAGCATTATATCTTCTTTTCTCATTGATCTATTTTAAATTTGATGCATTAAAAATAGTTTTCTAGGGATTTCCCTGGCGGTCTGGTGGTTAAGACCCTGCATGTCAAATGCAGTGGGTGCCAAGTTCGATCCCTGTTTGGGGAACTAAGATCCCATATACTGATAGCCTGGCCAAAAAAAGATTTTTTTTTTAATTGAGTATTCATTCTATCTGGCAAAGTAGGCCATGGCACAAGGGGTACAACAGAGGGCAAAACACAGACCCATGTCTGCCCTTGGCTGGTGCCCCTTCTAGTGGGATGTGCAATGAACAGGTAAAGCCATAAAACACATAATGAATACATGTAGATTTAGGGCAGTGAGTTTTTGTAATAGAAAAGCCTGGTGCACCTACTTGGGGGTGTTCTTGGACACTCAGTCTTAGAGGGTGATGGTGCATCCAGATCATGGGGAACAGGACCTTCAACTCAAAAGTCACCTTCCCCGGGGACCCTCCCTCTCTCTCCTAGGGAGATAGACTCTCTCTTCTCTGGCTTCTGCAGTGTGAATACGCCCTGCACTTAACCTTTGCTCACCTCTCCCCTAGGGCCTGACCTGCCCAAGGGTATCTCTGCATCCTCAGCCCCTGAGGCTTAGTCAATACTCTGGAATGAATTACGTAGGACGTTTAACCCTGCATTTTCTAGGGCAAAGCACCCAGAGAGATTCTACCTGGGGGCATAATACAGGCAGAGAGGATGCTGTCATCTCTGCTTTGCTATTGATTCAGTTCAGTTCAGTTTAGTCGCTCAGTAATGTCCAACTCTTTGCGACCCCACGAATTGCAGCACGCCAGGCCTCCCTGTCCAACACCAACTCCCGGAGTTTACTCAAACTCATGTCTATCTAGTCGGTGATGCCATCCAGCCATCACATCTTCTGTCATCCCCTTCTCCTGCCCTCAATCTTTCCCAGCATCAGGGTCTTTTCCAATGAGTCAACTCTTCGCATCAGGTGGTCAAAGTACTGGAGTTTCCGCTTCAGCATCAGTCCTTCCAATGAACACCCAGGACTGATCTCCTTTAGGATGGACTGGTTGGATCTCCCTGAAGTCCAAGGGACTCTCAAGAGTCTTCTCCAACACCACAGTTCAGAAGCATCAATTCTTCGGTGCTCAGGTTTCTTTATAGTCCAACTCTCACATCCATACATGACCACTGGAAAAACCATAGCCTTGACTAGATGGACCTTTGTTGGCAAAGTAATGTCTCTGCTTTTTAATATTCTATCTAGGTTGGTCATAACTTTCCTTCCAAGGAGTAATTGTCTTTTAATTTCATGGCTGCAGTCACCATCTGCAGTGATTTTGGAGCCCCCCAAAATAAAGTCAGTCACTGTTGCCACTGTTTCCCCATCTATTTGCCATGAAGTGATGGGACAGGATGCCATGATCTTAGTTTTCTGAATGTTGAGCTTTAAGCCAACTTTTTCACTGTCTTCTTTCACTTTCATCAAGAGGCTTTTTAGTTCCTCTTCACTTTCTGCCATGAGGGTGGTGTCATCTGCAGATCTGAGCTTATTGATATTTCTCCTGGCCATCTTGATTCCAGCTTGTGCTTCTTCCAGCCCAGCATTTCTCATGATGTACTCTGCATATAAGTTAAATAAGCAGGGTGACAATATACAGCCTTGACGTACTCCTTTTCGTATTTGGAACCAGTCTGTTGTTCCATGTCCAGTTCTAACTGTTGCTTCTTGACCTGCATATAGGTTTCTCAAGAGGCAGGTCAGGTGGTCTGGTATTCCCATCTCTTTCAGAATTTTCCACAGTTTATTGTGATCCACACAGTCAAAGGCTTTGGCATAGTCAATCAAGCAGAAGCAGATGTTTTTCTGGAACTCTCTTGCTTTTTCAATGATCCAACAGATGTTGGCAATTTGATCTCTGGTTCCTCTGCCTTTTCTAAAACCAGCTGGAACATCTGGAAGTTCTCGCTTCATGTATTGCTGAAGCCTGGCTTGGAGAATTTTGAGCATCACTTTACTAGCGTGTGAGATGAGTGCAATTATGCGGTAGTTTGAGCATCATTTGGCACTGCCTTTCTTTGGGATTGGAGTGAAAACTGACCTTTTCCAGTCCTGTGGCCACTGCTGAGTTTTCCAAATTTGCTGACATATTGAGTGCAGCACTTTCACAGCATCATCTTTCAGGATTTGAAATAGCTCAAGTGGAATTCCATCACCTCCACTAGCTTTGTTCATAGTGATGCTTCCTAAGGCCCACTTGACTCCACATTCCAGGATGTCTGGCTCTAGGTGAGTGATCACAGCATCGTTATTATCTGGGTCATGAAGATCTTTTTTGTACTAGAGACAACCTTTAACATCCCTTCCCACCCCCATTCAAGCTACAGAAACTGACACAACACTGACAGCAATCATTTTGCCAAGAGAACCAAAAACACCACCCCCAAAACAAAGCACACAAGCAAAACACTTTGAAGGAGACTCTATGCAACCTGGAGCCCTTGGCACGCTGAGAAGAATGGCTGTAACCGGGCCTGCTTCCCATCCAGGTGTTCCGCCAGGCGTGGTCAATGTTGTGTTTGGAACGGGGCCCAGGGTCGGCGAGGCCCTGGTGTCCCACCCAGATGTACCCCTCATCTCCTTCACTGGGAGCCAGCCCACTGCCGAGCGCATCACACAGCTAAGTGCCCCCCACTGCAAGAAGCTCTCGCTGGAGCTGGGGGGCAAGAACCCTGCCATCATCTTTGAAGATGCCAACCTGGATGAGTGCATCCCGACGACTGTCAGGTCCAGCTTTGCCAACCAGGTGTGTCCTCTGTTGTTTTCCTCCCCCTTTGTTTTTTGCTTATTTTTAACTCAGCAGCCTTGCCAAACTGCATCTGTGGCGTCATAGTGACAACCGGGGTGAGTAGGTCAATGCAGGACTCTTTCAGTGAAAGGAGAATGGTTGCGTTGCATTACTCTTTTGACTGTCTGTTCAATCTTAATGTCACTGGGAGGCATTGTGGCATCACAGCTCCTGTTTAGCAAGCTCTTCTTCTCCAGCTGTTCAGTTGCTCAGTCAGGTCCCCCGCTTTGTGACCCCATGGACTTCCCTGTCCTTCACTATCTCCTGGAGTTTGCTCAAACTCATGTCCATTGAGCCGATGATGCCATCCAACCCTCTCATCCTCTGTCGCCCTCTTCTCTTGCTCTCAGAACTTTTATGGGGGACCAGCCATGGGCCAAATGATTGCTTTCTGGCTTCTCCATTCCTTTATTTATACTTTCCCCAGTCTTTTCTTGCTGTCCAAGAGTCCTATTTCTTGGAAACTTTATTCTCTGCCCCCACCCAAAAGCACCTCAAATGCATTCACACATTTAGAAATAAATACTTGAATCAGTCTCAAGCAGGTTTCTTACCTTGAAATCATGGAGGAGCCTCGAGCAACTTTGTATTTCCTGATCACTGGAAGAATTGTTGTGAAGATCCAGTATCAGTGTGATGAAAAATTTGTTTATGTGACCAGGTGCCATCATACATACACAGTACTGACAAGTCCAGAATGTGGTTTGTCAATGGTCACATGTTATGCTCAAATAGTAGTAAGGATGACCTTTCACTCAGAAACCTGTTGGTGCCTCTCCCTGGAACACCCAGTGTCTCTGTTTGGATGGCCAGTGTCATCTGAAACTTCACCTGAACAAAACAGGACTTCTGGTTTCCCTCCCTCTCCTTTCCCCGCAGTATCTCTGATTTTCCTGCCTTGTGTCCACCATTCTGAAGAAGAGACTACCATCCACCATGTGCTTGGGCCAGAAATCTGGGACTCGTCCTTGTTCTAACCTCCTCTTTTCCTTAAACCTCCCTTACCCGCCAGTAGGTCCTGCTGGTTCTGTCTTTAAGGTGTATCCTGCATCTTCTTCAGAGCACCTTTGCCAGTTTCTTTACACTTTTGGGGTCCCCTTTGCCCCTTTAAGAATCTGTTGACCTCAGTGGACTCCTTCCCCTTCTCTCATCTCCATTGATTCCACCTGGTTCAATGTGCCTCCCCTCACCCGGCTGTCTGAAAAGCTCTCCTAACCCACTCTCGATCCTCTCCAATTCTGTTCTCCACACAGCTGCCAGAATGATCATTTAAAAATGTAACTCCCGACCACCTCTTCTTGCTGCTTAAAGCTGTCTATGATCCTTTCATGATACTGAGGATAAAATGCAAGCTCCTTGTGAGCCTGTGAGCCTATAAGATGCTGCATGATGTTGCCTCGTTCCTCACCTCCTGCCTGTATTTCCCATGTTGCTCTGACCCCCAGCCCTGCCTCCACCCCCCACCCTCAGCTCCGCTCACCTTCCTCGCTTTCCTCACACACTCCAAGCTCATTTCTCTGGCAGGTCCTCTACACTTACTGCTGAGAATTCTGTACCTCTATCCATCCGGCTCCTTCGCATCAATCAAGGGTCAGTTCCAACATTCCCTGTTCACCAGTGTCATCCAGGACTCCGTTTAATAAAAGGGAGTAAAAGTTCTCCCTCCCCACTCATTTCTACTCTTATCCTCAGCTTAGTTTTCTTGTATTGTTTTGGTCGTGGCCTGAAGTTGTATTATTTATTGAGCTTTATTGCATTCCCCACAAGACACTGTGTTCCAGATGGTGGGACTTTGTCTTGTTTACCGCTGTTCCCCATCATCTAGCCCAGTGCCGGATCGTGGCAGACACTCACAGGGGCAGGGTGATCCGTCCGTGGAGTGGAGCCCTCTGTCTTGTCCTTGTCCTCATGAGTCATTCTTGGCAGGGTGAAATATGCCTCTGTACCAGCAGAATCTTTGTCCAGAGGAGCATCTATAATGAATTTTTAAAGAGGTTTGTAGAGGCGACCAGAATGTGGAAAGTTGGCGTTCCTTCTGACCCATCGGCTGACATGGGAGCTCTGATCAGTCAAGCTCATCTGGAGAAAGTAAGTAAAACCCTCTGTGTACATTTCAGAAAGAATTCTTAAATTTTTTTTTAAAATTTTGTATTGGGGTATAGTCAATTAACAATGTTGTGACAGTTTTGGGTGAAGAGCAGAGTGACTCAGCCACACATATCCATGTATCATTCTCGCCCAAGCTCTCTGCCATCCAGGCTGCCACATGACATTCAGCTGAGTTCTCTGTGCTGTTCAGAAGGGCCTCGTTAGTTTTCCTTTGAATATAACCATGTTCCATGGACTATGCCAGGCTTCCCTGGTGTTTCAGATGGTAAGGAATCTGCCTGCACTGTGGGAGACCCAGGTTTGATCCCTGGGTCAGGAAGATCCCCTGGAGGAGAAAGTGGCAACCCATTCCAGTATTCTTGCCTGGAAAACCCCATAGACAGAGAAGCCTGGCAGGCTACAGTCCCTGGGATAGCCACAAAGAGTTGGCCATCTATAGAGCAGGTCCTTGTTGATTATCCGTTTTAAATATAGCAGAGTGTACATGCCCATCCCACACTCCCTAACTATCCCTTTCCCTGGTCTTTCCCCTTGGCAACTGTAAATTTGTCCTCTTAAATCTGTGAGTCCAGAAAGAATTCTTATGGGGAGAGAAACTCAGTGCCAAGGCATAGCACCATCTTTGAAATGCTGTTAAATTACTACCCTATTCTTTTTTTTTTTTTTAATTATGATCTGTGGGAAATTGTCTTTGGGTATCGAGTCTGAAAATGTTACAGATAGATACACAAATACAGTCAAGTTAAAGCAGCGCCTACGTGACATAAATAAACTTGGGAAGTCAGCATGGAGTCTGACTCCCATGGAGCCAGTCCGTGGAGTGAGGAAAGCAAATTTCAAAGCATAAAGGCCAGCTGACGAGAATGTTGTGGGCTGAGGGTGGCAGGTATTTCCACAGGTAAGTGTTCCCAGTTAGTCCTCAGGCAATGAGGTTCTGCCTCTGGGTGATAGCACATGGGATTTTGGAAGTGTGAATCCAGTCTGAACAACGTGGACTTTAGCTGGTGGGGTGACTTGTGGGGTCTTCGTGGGAGAAGCCATTGAAGCAAGTGTTCTCTGGGTGCTTTGTGGAATTTGGGTCTTTAAGACCATTTCCATTTCCTGATGAGACTCCCACAATAAGTCCTAGAATTTTGGAGCTAAGAGGTCTCATTGTGGGCTATGGTAATGAACACCAAGCAAGGGTAGTGGCAGTGCGCTCCCATGGGTTAAGCGTTGAGGGACGGAGCCTTTACGCAGATTCAGCAGACTTGCTACTGTGAACTGTGACTTTCACGGTACTGTGAAGCGCAGATGCCCACAGGTGGGAATGTGTCGTGTCAATCTTCCCAGTCTCTTCTTACTTCTATTGTTTTCTCAGTAAAATAGGAAGCAAAGTGAGGAGGGGAGATGGTGTTGAAGGTTTCAAGGAGGAGGAAAAGTTCTGAGACAGTCTTCAAGGAGATCAGGAGAGAGAGAAATGGACTTGAAATGACTGTATTGTCAGCGGGGCAGCTCCAAGGGCTCCCCCCGGGGCTGTGATCACTTGTGGTCACACTAACAAAGCATGCGGTCATTGATTTAAAGGGAGGCCGGCCAGCATGGCTGTGTCTTCCTCCAGCCAGATGCACCTGCATGATTGCAGGCCTACGGGTAGCAGTCCCCAGAGTGCCCCCGGGGGACCCACAGCTGTGGATGGTCCCACCTTGTGAAGCGGGGTGTCACCTGGTGTAAGAGGCCCCCGGGTTCTCTCTCATCTGACTGTTCTGAACTCAGGGGTCCATGCTGTAAACCCACACATGCAAATAAGTGGTGAAAAAGAACTTTTGCCTCTTTCCAGTTGCTTCCTGTGGAGCAAAATTACCTTTCCAGGAGCTTCTTTCATTAAGCTCAGGCCATGTGCTGTCTGTATTAAGTCGCTTAGCTGTGTCCAACTCTTTGCACCTCCATGGACTGTAGCCCACCAGGTTCCTCTGTCCATGGGATTCTCCAGGCAGGAATACTGGAGTGGGTTGGATGCCCTCCTTCAGGGGATCTTCCCAACCCAGGGATTGAACTCAGGGCTTCCACACTGCAGGTGGATTCTTTATTGTCTGAGCTTCCAGGGAAGCTCAGGCCATGGCACCATCCAAGATCCCCTGTGCAATTCACCAACTCACCGGAGACTCAAAGCTCTCTTCATCAACTCAGCAGAGAAACTGTTTTTCTATCCTAGGCACTGTCATAACCATTAAGTTCTCCAATGAGGGGAGGAACATCAGTGAGGCAAATCAAAGCATTTGACTTTCCTGTAGCAGTTGAATGACGTGTAGCCCCTCTATGTGTGTGCACGTGCACGCATGCATGCACACACACACAAACTGTCTTGTATGTGTGAGAGAAACCGACACCATTCACAGACTCCTATTGGTAGTTATGACTTTTCTTGGCCATATTCTGATTATTTCTCCCTTTTGCCCCATACAGTGAACTCGGACCAAATAGAGACTTTCTGGGTTTCCCTGTATTGTAGCTCCTCTGAGGGTTAATGCAATATTTGCGATGTTCCGTGTATTCCTGCTGGCTCAAAGGGGCCTGCCCTCTCTTTAGCCCCCCACCCCCCACACCCTCCTGAACTCCACCACAGGCTCGCCTCCAGGCATCTCTGTTCTCCAACAACAAGCAGCCTCAGGCTGAGTGAGCTATGCTACCTGACGTGGCAACAGGACCTTTGTCTACTGAGCCCTGGTTCCATTCAGAGAAGAGTGAACAAAGCCAGCTTCTGACCCTGTTGTTTTGATGTTCAATGGCTCAGTCGTGTCTGACTCTTTGCGACCCCATGGACTGCAGCACACCAGGCTCCCCTGTCCATCACCAACTCCCGGAGCTTGTCAAACTCATCAGTGATGCCATCCAACCATCTCATCCTGCTTCCCCCTTCTCCTCCTGCTCTGGGTCTTTCCCAGCATCAGAGTCTGACTCTGTGCACCCTTTGGATGATGCCTCATGATGACCAGACAGTCAAGAGGGGGCCACTTAAAGTCTGGTTGTGCTAAGCTCAAACACACTGCCCTTTAAGACATCCGTCTTGAAAAGAGGGTACCTCATGGGGTTGCAAAGAATCAGACATGACTGAACGACTTCACACACACACATACACACACACACCTCAAAAAGTTCTGAGGTTCTACTGGAAGATATTGCGGTGTTAAAAAATATTTTTTCACAGTTAAAAACTTAAAAATAGTATTCATCATCAGCCATTTATTTTTATATTTTAGGGAAGAACAATACAGATGGTATTTCCGTTATCCTATGGCACACAAAAGTGCGGGGTTCCCCTTGTTTTGTGGTTGCACGGGCAGATCTCTCAGCTCTGCTCGTGGTCACCCCCACACACACTCAAAGTCTCAGAACCATCCTGCTGAGGTTCAGAGGGGCCCTGGACACCTGCCATCCTCACTGCTCCACCCAGAACATGTGTGCCTAGATGCCAGGAGTCACAGCTTTGCCCTTGGGTCTCTCAGCACATGAAGCCCTGGATGGGGGCTTTGACAGCTCACGTCTTGTGAGGGGACCCTGTGTGTCTCTGTCCTTTGAGAGGGAGCCAGGCGAAGCAGCTCGGGAAGCGTATGTGTCTCTTTTTCAGGCTGCGATTCTTCTCGGTTCAGTCTGCCAAACCTTGGTCTGGGATCGAGGAGGCAGCAGACGCTCCACTGGTGCTCATGTTTGCTCACCTCTCACCAGGAAGCTTTGGGGGCTGTGAGTCCAGGGGAGGCCGGCTGCCCTCTTGGCGTTCCAACCCTCCTCTTCTGCAGTAGATCTCTATCTTCTCCAAACCAACTTAGCCACGGGATCTTTGTGTCCACCCTGCTTCTGTGGGATTGTCACAACAGATGGAGAGGCGGTGACAGAAGAATCCCACTGGAGCACGTGACGAGTGCTCTATATGGCAAAGGGCTCCTAGGTGCAGGTGTGGCTTCCCAGGTTCCCGGGGACGGCAGGGGAGGCAGGGGAAATGGCAGGTGATTTTATCCTCGGGGGATGCAGGAATGTCTCCCTGGTCTGCTTCACAGGGTGCTTTTTGCTTTTACTCTCTGGAATCCTCCCCTACTTGACTGTCTGGAGAATCTGGCTCTAGGCCAGCCTCCCAAAGATGCAAGAAACTAGAGAGAGAGAGTGCTGGACGTTGACAGTGAGGCTAGAGCAAGCACAGACGAAGTTCATGGGTTTATCCCCCAGTAAGGCCAAGCTTTGGGTCTAACTAAGGTCCACTCTTTTATTTTATTTTATTTTTTAAACCAAAAACATTTTGTATAGAGGTAAAGCCAATTAGCAATGTGGTGACAGTTTCAAGTGAACAGTGAAGGGACTCAGTCATACATATACATGCTTCCATTCTCCCCCAAACCCAGCTTCCTGTCCTCCTTTGTCAGTTAAGAAAACTGACGTATGGAGTAGGGGACATCCTTGAAATCTCACAGCTCGTGAATGTCAGATTATGCATTCTACTGTCATCATCACCATCACCATCAACACAGACAGCAGCATCTGACCTTCAGAAGTTTTACTATGTGTCAGGTATCACGCTAAGGACTTTACATATATTATCTTATTTAGTCTTTGCAAGAACCTGTGAAAGAGGTGGCGCAGTCAATGGCATTTTTCTGATGAGGAAACCGAGACTGAGAGCATTTGAATCCCTCAGCTGGTAAGGACCTGAGGTCAGAGCACTGCTGGGCTCCCAAGCCCATCTTCCAACCTCCAGGCTTTGATTTTTATGTCCAAAATGGCTAAGCGCTGACTATTCTCTGCTCTCCCCCCTCAAGGAAAGGTCTTAGAGGAATATTTCATTCCATTTTATATCACCTTTATCAGTCACAAGGCTGTTTTTCTGAGCTAGGAGTGTAGATATCATTGTGTCATCTGGCGATATTTTCTCTAGAAAAGAAATTCAGTTTCATGTGAGTCACCTTCTATGCTAAATTCTGTGAATTCGCAATTTGAAAACCGACACTTCGCTTCACATTTTATTATCCTAAAAGCTTCAAAGAGAGAATTGTGTAATTTTGCTTGCACATGATCATCTGAAGGGAGAGCACTCCTTGCACTGTTTGAATTGCCGCTGAAAGTCCTGGCTTTGCATCCAGCTGGGCCTCTGGAGACTCACCTGCACACACCCTGTTCACACAGAATGCTGCCTCTTGGCATCTTTTAATTAACGTGAGTGTGCTGCTCCAAAAGGGGCAAGAGAGTAGGAGAAAGAGAATTCTAGCTTTATTGTTTATCAGCCGTATGAACTATGTACCCTTTTGGAGATTCACTTATGTCATCAGCAAATAGAGGACGGTAATATATAGCTAATAGAGTTTTGAGAGAACTATGTGAGAATGTGTTAAAAGCACTTATCCACATGCCTGGCTCTTGGACATTAAATACACAACTCTCCTTGTCTTACATGTGAGGGCTGACTGGCCAGATGATGGTTAGAGCTTGTCTGCCCTCAAGCATAGCAGCTGAGTGACAATATAATCACCCTTAGATTTTGTGGGCGGAAAAACCGTATATGTCTTTCCTGTGCATGCATGCTCAGTTGTGTCCGACTCTTTGCCACTCCATGGACTGTAGCCTGCCAGGCTCCTCCATCCATTGGATCTCCAGCAAGAATACTGGAGTGGGTTGCCATTTCCTACTCCAATATGTCTTTCCTAGGTGCTTGAAAAATATTGAATTTTCTCTGTGCTATGTGAAGACAAATGATAAGTTGTTACTATGTTCTTTTATCTGCCCAGGTCAGAAGTTACATCAAGAAAGCTCGCCTGGAAGGGGCCCGAATTCTGTGTGGTGAGGGAGTGGATACATTGAACCTCCCCCCCAGGAATCAGGCAGGGTACTTCATGCTTCCCACGGTGATAACAGATGTTAAGGATGAGTCCTGCTGCATGAAGGAAGAGATATTTGGTCCGGTGACGTGTGTCGTCCCCTTTGATAGTGAAGAGGAAGTGATTCAAAGAGCCAACAGTGTTAAATATGGACTGGCTGCCACCGTGTGGTCAGGCAGCGTGGGGCGTGTCCACCGGGTGGCCAAGAAATTACAGTCAGGCTTGGTCTGGACCAACTGCTGGCTCATTAGAGAGCTGAACCTACCTTTCGGGGGGATGAAGAGTTCTGGGGTGGGCAGAGAAGGAGCCAGAGACTCTTACGAATTCTTCACTGAAGTCAAAACCATCACTGTTAAACACTGAACTCGGCCAGCGCAGAAGCTGATGCCCGGCTGCAGAGACTCAGTCGTCCGGTGTGGTGAAAAGAAACCCCTGCATAAATTTCAGCCAGGTTTTGACTCAGCAAAAGACTCTCTCTATAGCTTATCCTCTGTACCTAGTATTGTTACCGACTGGTGAAAAGATGCTTGCTCTTTTCAGTGAGGAGTCAAAGAAGAGATCTCTGAATAGGAAGGCATACAAAGGAAGCCACACAAACATTGGGCTCCTCCTAAGCTGTGTTTTCATTGTTTCATCATTTTGATTCAATTCTTAAAAATTCACAGATAATTAGTTTCTTTTTCTCATTTGCAAGTATATGGTAAAAAAAAAATCTACAAAGTCAAAGAGAAACACATCACCATAATCTCTGACTTTGGGGAGATTGCAGAAATGGTCTCTCCATTCATCAGCAACTGGCATGGCTCATTGGTAATTGACTGTACCTCATTATGCAAGGATGCTTTGAATGTTGATGATGTAATTTATGGGGATTTGTCAGAGTAACCATATATGATAGGTCCTACTAAATATATCTTTATGAAGACAAAGAGAAATGAAATAATGACTACTTTTGGAAGAAACTCAGAAGAAGGAGTGTTTGATATTTTCATACTATGGAGTCTAATCAATTCCAATTCAAAGTGTAGCATCTCAGGACGCTTAAAATTTTCGAATACTGTATGGCTGAGTCTCTTTGCTGTCTGCCTATAGCTATCACAGAATTGTTAACTATACCCTAGTATAAAATAAAAAGTTTTAAAACTTTACTAATCTTAAAGGAAACAATAAACGTTAAACAAGTTTAGTGAGCAGTCACCTTCTTCATGAATTGTCCTTTATTCTTATCTTCATCCTCTTAGGAGCGTAGACTTTTTACCAAGTATCAGTGATACTCTTAGCTCTTTTGTCCTGAATCTCCCGGTGTTCAGAGGAGAAAAAATGTGAGATTTACGGACATTAAGTAGCACATTCGAGGCCCCAAAAATGATGTGGGGACAGGAAGGACTTGAGTCCAGGGTTCTCAGACGCCGTAGCCTATGATCTCTGGCCGTTTCATGCTTATCTTGGGTGTTTCAGAAAAATGAAGTCCTTAGGGCTTCCGTGGTGGCTGAGATGGTAAAGAATCTGCCTGCCACACGGGAGACCTGGGTTTGATCCCTGGGTGGGGAAGATCCCCTAAAGAAGGGCATGGCAAACCGCTCCAGTGTTCTTGCCTGGAAAATCCCATGGACAGAGGAGCCTGGTGGGCTACAGTTCACGGGGTCACAGAGACTTGAACGCAACTGAGCAACCACCACTTCGCACTTCAGTGGTTTGTAGAACACGTCGTGCTGGGTCTCCCCGCTGTGTCTCCGTCCTGCTTTGCCCCTCCCTCCTCTCTCCTGCCTCACTCCACTCAGCCATGCAACCCAATCTATGCAGCCAACCCTTTCCCAAGTTCTGGTATGGGCCTTCCCATGCTGACCAAAAAACTATCTGTTCACCCTTCTCTCTTCCTGATGGGACGGGAGTTCCTCCCCTCTGAAGTCTCAGATCACAGCCCAGCCCAGTGCCTGGCTGTGCACAGAGGGTGCCCAAAACGAGTTGCGAGATGGAAGGAGGGCTTCCTGGGGCCCCGGTGTATTGGTTGCACGATGTATGGGGGATCGGGGCAGGCGTACAGAATAATCTGTATCATTTTGTGTAGGATTTGGCATATGTTGGCTTGTTTACAAATGCTGAAAATGACAAGTCCCTTTGAGGTCACGTGGTAGTGTCAGATTATGCCTGGTTCTTAGCTTCTACCTTCTGCCCCCTCTCTTTCCCTCTTCCCCGCCTAGGGTCCTTGACCTTGATCAGGTAAGTGTAGGACCAATTCTGAGTGTCAGAAGGAAGAAATTCAGTAGCTCCAGTGTCTAAGAATCTACATCTTCACTCTTGTAGTTGATGTGGCCCAAGCTTCATCCTTATTTCTAATACCTAAGCCCTATCTTCAGTCCAAATTCTGACAACTGAAGCTCTTAGCTCCTGGTGCCTGAATACCCATCTCCCAACATGCTGGTTTTCTGTCCGGGAATCTGTCCTCCCTGGAATTTGGAGTCAGCCCTGTCCAGGATCTGGATTCTCCTTGTGGAGGTGCCTGCTTCCTGCTGACAGACACCCTGGGGACCATCTTCCTGCTTCTGGGTCTCTTGTGGTCTCTAGAAACTCCCCTGGGCTCACATGTCAGTCTCATGGATGCGGATTTGACCAAAGGCTGTTCTCCTTCAACTCACCACTGCCTTGGTTCTCAGTTCTTCAAACCATTAGATACAATGTCTTAGCACCCCTGTTAGACCTTTCCTCATCAGTTCTGTCCCAAGTGGGTGAGTTTAGTTCTAAGACCTTATCCTTCTCCAGCCATCTCATACCAGCTAAGGGTACCATATTCATTTGTGCCTACCCCACTACACAGTTCCACCCGAGCGGAGTGCTGCCTTTGTGTGTGTGTGGGGGGCGCGGTTTGGGTGGGGGGTGGGTTTGCTCAGAACTGAAATAAAAAATCAAGGGAGATGTTGGCACAGAGCCTGATAACTCGGGCCCTTTGCTTACAACTCAGAGGAGGCGGAAGGAAAGGCAACCCCACCCAGCAGTGAAATCCACCAAAGAATTTCACTTCCCACGGTGAAGTCCTCCTCACTTTCATAGTTATGAGGGTACAACCTGGACTGTCCACACACCCTAAAAAGAAGCCTGTCTCTGATACCCTCACACTCAGACATGTAAAGTTAGTCCCCATTCAGTGATGAGTTTCATGGGTAAATTGTTCTTCCAAACTGCAAAGAATAACTTTGCCAATTACCTATAATAATCAGCCAGCATGCTTTTTTATTAAAAAATATTACTGACCAATCAGGGCTCATCAAATATTAGGTAAAAGAGAAATATCAACATGTGTGAACAGTGACGGACCACAGGAGAAACACAAAAGGAAGATGACAAAAAAAATTGAATTAGCATCTTCAGAGAGGCCTGAGACAACAGTGGATTCAGACAAAAGGGTAGGCTGCTATGAAAAAAGAGCAGGCAGAAAACAGGAAAGAAGCCACGACAAATTAAACATTCCCCAAATACATTTTAAAAATCAGTAGAATTGAATCACTGGTTTGGCTGAAAACTAAATTAGTATCTGGAAGATAAAGTTGAGAAAATAGCTCAGAATGTACAGAATGACTGAAAAGGAAAATATCCAAAAGCTGAGATGGCAGATAGATCTAGAAACTTATTAATATGTAACTAATCCACGCTCAGAGAACAAAAATGAGTAATGAAATAAATTAGAAAAGATAATTTCCCTCAACTAAAAAAATGATTTTCAGATGGAAAATATTCACCAAGTGCTGAATACTAGTCTGTTAAAAATCTGAAATTCCTAATATAAAGCTTGTAGAGAGAATTACCAGAATACCTACCAAAAAAAAAAAAAATCCACACAAAGTAAAAAACACAAAAAGAGCCCTAGAAGACTGTCATCTTACTTTACATTAATATTATTGATGCTAGAAGACAGTGGAGAAAGACTTCAAAGTTATCAGGGAAAATTGAGCCTCATTTAATAGCCAGCAAAATGTTCCTTCAGAATTAAGGCAAAGTAAGTTATCCAATGTCTCAGAAATTTTCTTTTATGTCCTCCTCCTGGAATGACTTGGAGATATGAAAAAGAAAACTGAATGCAATGACCAGAACTGTCTGAGGAATAAAATGGAAAGACATTTCAAGTTATCAGCTGTTAATCAGGCCTAGAAAGCAGTTGGCCCAAATTAGAACAGGGAAGATAGGAGATAGTGACTAGAGAACATTGATTAAAAACACGTTTAATAATCTGGACGATTTTAGACATGTAAAGAAGTACATGTAGGCTATTCTATCCATTAGAATAAAAGAAACAAAAAACTATTTAGATAGCATGATAAGACAAGGCAAAATGAAATGTGACATGACTTGGAAAAATTGAAGGGGTAAGCATAAAAGCGTAATCTTTTTTTTGGATGTAAATTTTCGGTAACATAAAAGTCACATTTCTATCTTTATGGGCCTTACACACTATTTCATACTAAAATTAATATTTATATATTTTGAATATGTAAGAAAGATTAAAGGCAAAAGGAGAAGAGAGTAGCAGAGGATGAGATGGTTAGACAGCATCACTGACTCAACGGACATAAGTTTGAGCAAACTCCAGGAGATAGTGAAGACAGGGAAGAAAGACTGGCATGCTACAGTCCATGAGGTTGCAGAGTCGGACATGACTTAGCCACTGAATAACAACATTTTGAATATCTCAATATCTGTTACTGGTTTTCAATTTTTAAAGTCAAACTATTTTGGAAACTTAACTAAGCTTGGAAGATGTCCTCCAGCACCCTGAGTGCTGCCTGTCTGCCCAGCACGATGCTCTAGAGAGGCCGACCCAGGAGACCCCTCTTCCCATCTCACCCGTCCTTTCCCTCCTATGAACATAGGAGGATGAGAGGCCCTTCTGGCCCTCCGTAGTGAATGTTCCCCTAAGCCAGAGCCCAGAGTTTTAAAATACATCTCCAAAGCTTGTGGTCCTTTCTTTTGGATTTGCCTAGCTCCTGGCAATTTGCTTAATCCTTTTCTTGGGGGTGTCTGCAGCTTCTTGTGGCCCCCATTAACAGTGGGTGGATCCACCCCAGAATGTCTCATTGATGAGCCCCTCATAGCAGGCTTTGCGGATGACCCGTTTCAGGCTGTACTTTGAGGAAGACATTATGTTCATGTGTGTCTAAAGCAAGCCTCTGGAATGTGTCATGGTGTTCATTAGTCTAATGGTCCCAAGCATTTACATTGTCAGTTTCTGCTGCCACGCATGTCAGGGCCACCCTCAGTACTGACTCACTCAGAGGCCTTGTGCAAACCACTGGCATCAACACTCCATGGCTTCTGCCAAACAAACGCTAGGTAGCTCTTCTGGGAAGAGTCGTATTTCTGACTGCAGTTGG